ATGGGCATCACTCGAAGGGACGTCAAGTTATGCTCACATCTCAATCTTAAATGTATCTTACTCTTCCCAGCAAACTGATAAACTATATCGCTCTTAAAAAAAAACAAAAAACAAGAACACATTGTTGGAAAGCAGGCTCAATTCATCATGTTCGTACAGGCTGTATGATGTACATAAGGCTCCTGTTAAATGGCGGGTGAACCATAGTCGTCACATGATAGGGGTGTCGAGAAAATGTGACCGTAGCCAACATTTCTATCAGCAAATACATTTTTATGTTGTCGGTAAACGGAAAGAGGATTGTGTGCCCCTTAAATTTGCTGTTTCAAAATTCGCTGGATGAAACTTTTGGCGTCACTGAAGAGGGCTTTTGCTATAGCGATATGTGAATGCCCGCCCACTCAAGTTTTATTTCAGCAAATGATAATCTTTTGAAAACGATCTATCAGGGTTGCATAGCTATGTACTGTACTTCTGCCATTCCTCTGTCACACTCCCTCTGTTTGTCTGTATGTCGGTCTGTCTGTCTCTGTCTCTCTGTCTCTCTCTAATGAGATGATCGATCAACAGCAAATCTGATGCTCTCCTGGTTTATGACAAAAACTGTTCCTTAATGGTACTATGTCCCATTTGCAGGCCAAAAAAATGAAAAGTTAAATTTCAACGGCATTTGAAAGATAATACTAATTTAGAACTTCCCTAAAAAAGGGGGGGGGGGGCTTGAAAATGTCTTTAAGTAAGAAAATAACGACTATTAGTTGTCGAATCGACTTAGGAGCTATAGAGCCAATAAGTAATAGTCTTGATTTTCAGACCATTGTACCGAATTGTCGTACGTTTTATGCTGCGCAAAGAGTCAATCAGTTTAATTTTGGCCATTACAAGAAGTGGGTTATTGATGTAGACAAATGCTTATGTACCCTTACAGCTCACTTTATGTATGTTATTACCAAAGAATAAATAAAGCCAGTCAGTCACTCAATAGTGTCTGACAGTGAAGTCTAGCAAGTAAACGGGTTTCCTTGCATAATTTGAATATTAGGACATTGCTAACGTTTAAATTCCACAGATAGGACATACATGACATATTCATAATTCCTGCAAAGTTCTACAGAATTTGAGGTTGGCTGCAAAAGGGACATAGTATCTTTAACTACCATAATTCCCGACGTGAAAAAGTTTACCCCGTCCTTGTTCCCAAGCTGTAGATCACATTCTGATCAGATCCTTCTTTAGAATGTCATTTCAAAAGCAGGTGTCGTCCCTGAACTTCCTTCTTAATTGATACATGTATGTCTTTGACATGAAGATAGCTCGCCTGCGGTATGAAGATAAAAATCCATCAAATATAATAAAGTTTCATTAACTTTCTACATTGAAGACTGGGAGGAATACGGGAAGCAAAACTTCTTCAAGTTTAATATCAACTACTCAGGTATCACACTACTCAAGTACGCAGGATTTTTTCAAGGGGGGAGGGGGTTAACATTTATAGATCGGGCCGAAAATTTCGCAACGACTCAGCCAGCCGCTGAATAAGTGGGGAGGGGGGGGGGGGGGGGGGGGGGGGGGGGGGGGGGGTAAGAGGACACTTTTTTTTTTTGGTCCCCAAAAAAAATCGCATCGACTCAGCCAACCGCTGAATAAGCGGGGGGGGGGGGGCCCAAACACCCCCCCCCTGTGTACGCGCCTGCTCAAGTATCACAAAAGAAGAGCACTCTTTTGTGTAACTAATAAATCTTATACATGTATATCGCTCAGTCAGAGAGCCTACAAGTACAACGTCAATGTTTGTCTTTTTATAAAACACAAACTGTCATGTAGCAAGCCACATATCAATGTTTCAAATGTCATCAACTTTACAAAGTAGTGGTGTGAAAAGGAAGATGATTTATCTCACCGCGATAATTTTGCATGTCGTGTTTCCCGCGCGCCGCAGGACACATTTCGTTTCAGCGGCTTGTGCGGTTATTGGCCAGAGACCAAGGGCAAGCCATATGGGACGAGTGGGGGGAAGCGCAGGTGTTCGAAGACGTGCACGCGGTTTTTTTTTTTAACCACGTTGCAATCGTCAACTTGTCTTTCCTTGGACGTGTCCTTTACGAAGTCCTTTATTCTTTTCTTTAACCTGGTTTGAAATATCTCACTTACTAACGTACAATCACAGCGATTTTTGCCGACGACCGGGGCATTTCGCTGATCTTCAATATACTTCCGACAAGATGTTTTATTTCATACGTGCACGAAAGTTTTTGCAGCATCAGCAAACATTACAACCAGCGTGCGACCACCCTTTAATCGCAAAAAAATACAATATTTTTGAATGAGTGTTTGTGAAAAGCAAAAAAAAAAAGATTTCCACTAATAAAAGGAACAGATAAGGGGGGGGGGACGTTCCCTCTAGTCGATGGGTAACAAAGGAAAAAGAAAACAACAAATAGGATGAAGAGCGAGAGAAAGAGCAAACGAGAGATATACAAAATGCTTAGGGAAAATCTTGCAAGTTTATCTGCTGTTCACATTTTTGTTCCCTAAGTCCCCCATCACGTTCAATCTCTAGCTTAAAATGGCGGTCTCCTCCATTTTTCAATTTTGAATTTTGAAGGAATAATTATTTAATGATGTTATTTTATTCATTATGATATGATCAGGGGCGGTCGAGCGACTTCCAAAGTGGGGGGGCACCAACAAAAAAGGGCACTTTCTGAAGAAAAAAGGGCACCTACAGTGGGAAATCTCAAAGCGAAAATATACAATTTTTTAGACATTGGTACATACCCCTGCATTGTGATTACATTATCAGGGATGATTTCAATATTTGTTTCTCTTCATACATCATACAAGATATCGCTTAAGCATCATACTTTACAGTTGGGTGGGATGTCTGAATATGCATTTACGAGCGAGCGAAGCGAGCGAGAAAAATTTTAAAGATCTGCGAGGTCGCAGTGCGAAAAATTACATCTTATAAAGAGGAAAAAAGCCAATCGTGATGGGGTTATAAGCACATTCTCTTAACGGAAGACTGAAAAGACCTTTGATAACTAACATAATTATATCATCTTTAAATGCGAGCGAGCGCAGCGAGCGAACTTTGGGGGAAATTGCTCTTAGTCGCTTTAAATAAGGGGCATGTTTAATGATTTCATGAAAAGGGGACAATTATCGAAAGGGATAAGACACTTATTAGAAAAGAAAAGGAGCACGTGTCAAAGTACAAAGGATAATTATAAGAGGTGAACATGAGGCATTTTTTTCACCTGAAAAGAGGCACTCACCTGATGAAAAAGAGGCGTTTACGAAAATGGGAAATAGGCATTTGTTGACGGAAAAAGGGCACCCATCAGATTTTGATAGGGGCATTTATAAGAGGTGAAAAGGGGACAGGTCCCTTATTAGAAAGGAAAAGGGGCACGTATCATTATTAAAAAGGGAATTATCAGAGGTGAAAAGAGGCACTGACCAGATATGAAAAGGGGCACTTATGAAAATGTAAAAGGGGCACTTATAATAAAGGAAAATGTGCATTTGTTGAATGAAAAGGGGGCACTGTTCAAATTTAAAAAAAGGGCCGTTATGAGAAGGGGAGGGAGCTTTTTCTTTTTAATGGGGGCACTTATCATAAGGAAAAGGGGCACTTATTAGAAAGGGAAAGCGGTAGTTATGAGAAGGGGAAGGAGCTCTCTCTTTTTAATGGGGGCACTTATCATAAGGAAAAGGGGCACTTATTAGAAGAAAAAAAGGGGCACATGTTAAAATTAAAGGTGTGCTCATGCGAGTTTAAAAAAGGGGTAGTTATTAAAAGGAGAAGGGGCACTTCTTACAAAGGAAAAAAGGGGCAGTTGTCAAAGTAAAAGGAGTACCTCTCAGTTTTGAATAGGGCAATTATCAGAGGTGAAGGGGGCACTTATCAAAAGTGAAAAGGGGCACTTCTCGTACCTGAAAAGAGGCACTTACTAGAGATTAAAAAGGGCACTTATTAAAGATAATTTCAAGATTTATGAGAATGGAAAATGGACACTTATTGCAAAGGAAAATGGGAACATGTCGAAGGAAAAGGGGCACGTGTCAAAAATAAAAAGGGCACTCGTCAGAGGTGAAAAGGGGGAAGGGGCACTTTTATTTAGTAATAGGGGCACTTGTCAAAGTAAAAGGGGCACTTTTCCTATGTAAAAGGGGCACTTCTTACAAAATAAAAGGGGCACTTTTCCTATGTAAAAAGGGGCACTTTTGGGGTATCTGAAAAAGTGGGGGGGCACTGTGCCCCCCCCTGCCCCCCCGGGAGAACCGCCTCTGGATATGATGTTATATCTATCTATTTCAACTTTCGGAACTTTCGTTAATAATGTACATAATATGTACCTAGTTTCTTTTTATTACTTTCTACTGTGTTGAAAAATGCACGCCTACACACGCGCACACACAAAGCTAGATTTCTATGCAGCCATTGAAAAAGGGCTGACCAGATAAACGTATTAAAAAAAATACGTAGTTGTAAACCATCTGGAGACTCCTAATAAATTGCGATACTGGTTAATGAGTTATACTCTTACAATTTTGTCCAGTTTTCTTTACTGATAACTTATTTTTCTTATATCTATATTTTTCTTATATCTGCACTGCACCTCACTAGTACGACAATACACCTGACGGTGGCCTGTACTGCTACTGAAGAAGAAGAAGATTATGGTGTATATATTCAGGACTGAATGAGCACTATAAAACTACTACCAACAACAACGCACAAACACAAACACACCCACGCACTTTCTTTCACTCGATCTCTCTTATTCTCTCATGCACCTTCCCCTCCATACATCGGGCTCTTAAAGGTTTCTTTTCTTTTCTTTCTTTCTATTCTCTTTCTCTGGATAGGATTAGGGAAATAAATAAGAAAAACCGTTCATGCGTTTAGGGTGGGACTATGATTGGCAAAAGGATTCAACTCGGTCAGCCGTACCACAACTAAATAAAAATTACGCCTGCGTAATAGAAAGGAGCTTAACGTTTATATAGAATAGTTTCTCCGCCCGAATAAGTTTTCTTGTGCTGTATCACAGTAGCTTCACTTTCCCCAATATCATCGCTGTGTGTGACTTACTTTCATGGAATATCACGTAAATTCGGAAGAGCAGTGGATACTGTGAACTAGGGTGAGTGAACATTTTTGTTACACAATGAATATTTCTTAAACCTGTATCAAAGATATGATGTATAGGCCAAGTAAAGTTAATCTATCTTCACCATATCAGAGACTACCCAACGTGACGAGGGGCAAATAAGCTATAAGCTTTACGTCTCTACACCCAAGTAAGTCCAAGTAAGTAAGTAATCTAAATGGTAGGTCTACACCTGATAGTAAATGTCTATTGTAAAAAAAGGATTTTTCTGCTTCTATTGTAAGTAAGGTATTTTTGGAGTGGAATTGCTGAGAAGACTGTGGATTTATGGCCGAGAAGACTGAGGAATACCAATTTAATAGAATCTATGACAAATTAGTACTATATAGGAGGTATATAATTATATATGGCATTGTGTGAGGTAATCACGATATATATATAGATATATACATAATAATGGCATGTTCTAGTAAATACATCGCCGGACTATGACATTGTTCACGGTTCGAGTCCCGTTAGGGGAACTAATGATTTTTCGAAAGACATTAATCTACATTTCCCACTCTCTACCCGGGTGTAATGAATTGTTACCTGGTAGAAATATACTCTTTGAATGATATAATCGCCTAAGGGCAGCTGGGCTAAAGCAGGGATATTAATAGTTCTTTGTAAAGATGGGGGTGTTTCATGAAGATCCTATGCTGAACTTATCTCTAAGTTAGACTTAACAATTATGGAAAGCCGTTAGCATCTTATTTTAGAAAAGGCATCAAATGTGGATTCAAATCATCCATATTTTCTTTTAACGAGGAGATTACACGTTCCTGGTGTGGAATTTATGAAATATCTAAAATACTTGAATTTTTGCTCAATATATTTTATTTTAAGGCTACAAATGGCTCTCCATAATGTTTAAGTTCAATTTAGAGTTAAGTTCGACCTAGGATCTTTGTGAAACACCCCCATGGCCTTGTGCATCCCCTTGTGACGGATATGCGTGGATTATAAAAATAACTATTATTATCATCATCATTGTTAAAGGTTGTACGAACTCGACAATGGCTACGGGGATGACAATCTCTCGTGATCAGAACGAGGATGGTGACGTGTTCATAAACGACGAAGAGGGCGTGCTCAGGGCGATAGGGAAAAAACTATTCGAGGCCATCAATGAGGGCGACCTCATAAAGGTATATATAAAAACGATAACAATAATTGAACTAATTATTGCTATACGTAAAGGGAAACTGCATGTTCATCTTAAAAAATGGAAACCCATAGTGTAGTTTAAAAGGTCGTACTCATTTTCATTTGCCTTCATCCTACATCTATTTACATGTATGTTCACATTTATGATTCTGAATTATGTCCTATTATTATATGGAAGTTATTAATTTGTAAAACGCCTATGAAAGTATTTTTGTTATTTCCTTGTTGACATGAAGAAGCAATAACAGTTTTAAACGTTAAAATGACCATATTATGGTATGACGTGGTTCGATTTGATTAATTTGAATTGATATAGTTTATTACTAAACATATTGAATCAGCAGCTACAAGGCTGTAACTTAAGAGTACGGAGTAATGAAAAGGAAAAAGGGAAAGACGGACCTGAGAGAGTATAGATACAAGGAAAAAAAAGAAGAGAAATATAAAGAAAAAATGATTAAATATGTAGAACATTAGCACAAAAGTATGGTGATTTGAACAAATTGGAAATTGAAGAAGGGCAATTCTATAACTACTTTGTGTTACAAGTTACCGACCACGCCTATGATTATATGATAAATTACCCGTTCGTTGTTATTGAATTAAAGATAAACTTGAGTCCTGGTAATAAAAGAAAATAAATTCTATCAGAATCCAACAAAGCTTACACTGAAGGTTCAAGATTACAAGTCAAACACCTGACAACTATTTTGGTAGAAAATGTATATGGGCTGAGTAATGAGCATAGAAAGATAAGGAAATCAAGGTAAGTAGGCCCGACACCATGTGCTTAACACATGTCACTACATGTACATGTATGTGCAAATGAAAGTTATGCTGTTTATTGAAGATGATTTCCAGCAAGTTTTCTTTTTGTTTTAAATTTACTGGTTGAAGTATGAAGTATAATGACACAGTTGACGTCTATTCTTGTTCAGGCTCCCTACACAATGGTTTTGAGACACAATATGACTAACCACCTTGACCCCTTTGGGACACCGTATAACACCTTAACCCTACACTGAACACTTCTTCTTTAACCTTGATGATTGCTGTATTTAAGTAATGTTGGAAGATGATACATTACATTTTTTGGAAACTGGTATTTTCAAAACTTTTTTCTTGATATGGCATAACTTTTTTGTAATAACTTGTCATGCATGTGATGTGTAGAGTGTGTAGAATGAAAATCAGGTATTCGATACAGTACGATATAGTATTATCATTATTACGTAAACGGTTGTGTAGAATAGTTTTTTTTTAAGTGAATAACGAAACACAATATTATTTCTTACTTTCTTTCTTAGATTCTGCGAATTCTGTGAATGACTATTCTCATGGTTTCTGTTACATTACTCTCATTTCGTTTAGGTCGACGTTTTATTGCGAGGAATATCAGCTAACTCGTCTAACTTGGACATTAGGGACAAAGATGGCACGAACACCTACTCTCACGCAATCAGCAAAGGATTTTCACGTAAGACATTATAATTTTGATTTAAAAAAAAAAAAAAATTGTTTTTAAAAATAAATTTTAGTACTTAAAGGTAAAGACCAGTATTGGAAACGCCCCAATTTCAAAAAATGAAGTGGAAGCTCTTATTACCAATCATGTGAAAGAATATTTGGAATATTACATGACGATAAAAATTTTGACGGGAAACCGCCTACCAATTGATATCTTTGGTAAATTAGTATATATATATACTGTTGAGAGATACAAATGCACGTGCCGCGCACGTGTGTGTAGTCCCATATACATCTTTCTGTGTACAGTGCTTCTAACTTTATGAAGACTTGGCCAAATTTCTTATAATTTTGATGATTCCAGAACCTTGCAGTACATCTATGCTAGATGATCAACCTTTTCTGATCGATTTCACAACGTTTCTTTCACTATGCAATTGCATGACAATTACTGGTCTTTAGCTTTAAAGATAGAGTTGAATGCTAGTCGTGCGATTACATTGTCAATCCCAATGATTGTGAAAATAACTGTTGGAAAGTGATTTAGGAAAAGGTGGATTAGGTAGCACAAATATGTCGGTGTTTACTGTGAGCTTTTGTATATGTGCCGTGATCTGCACCATGAATGGATTCCCCTATTCTTCCGACCTTCATTTATTACTGATCACCACAATCTTAAGAGAGGGTTATTATCCCGCATTCTGGATAATAGTATTCACTATGTCTACTCAAGCCAGTGGCTAAAGTTGTGTTTTGTGCTTTCTTTGCAAAGTCTGCAAGGTCCGTGATTTTTTTGGAAAAGTAAAGTACTATTCACATGTACATGATCGAGGTGTGTGTGCGTATGTGTGGGGTTGGTACTGAGGACAACAATAAGAACTATACCCTTAGAATGTGCACTGTAACGACCACCAATCGCTTCGATAACTCTAGAATTCGTTTAGAATTTGAGGCCCTTTCATTATTTTTACGTATATTTAGATGCTCTAATTGCACGGAAAAAGTAGGTCTCGGTTATCAGTAAATTTTCTACTAAATGTCCTCGCATATGGAATAACATACTGATATGTATTATGAGTCCACAAACATGGGTGTGTATATATGTGGGGAACAGTGTGCGATAGGGAGGACAACAAGAAAATCGAATGATTATAATAATAATAATGATTATAATAATTATGATGATAATAATGATAATAGCAATAACATTGATACTAATGGTAGCAGTAATAATACTTGTGATAAAATCTTGAACCTGTCTATCTTAATACTGCTCGAATGTTCAATGTTGATGCCAGTTCACTGCACATTGGCAATAAGAGATATGAGATAACACATTTTGGCGGATCGGGGAGGAAAGGGGGGGGGAGGGGTTAGAAAAACTAAATGTAGCAAATGACAGAAAAATCGTCGTTCCGTTTTGGCTTGTCAAACGTTTTTGAACTAAAAATGCTATTGAAAACAAATTGTCTCATACTCTATATCTGTTTAATTCAATAAATTGTTGTCTCAAACCGATGAACAACACCTCTGCTCTCCCCTAGAGAGATCCGCAATAGGAGATCAATCGAAGTGTCCGGAAAAATAATCTAAAACTGTTCTCTTTCATTTGTGTACATTTTGTATGTTCTGCCTCACTCCTGACGTTCTCTTGTCTACAATGCAGACGCCTTTATTAAAAGTGATTTTATCTTTTGTACTAGTGCGCCTGGACTTGGAGCCTAAATCTTCTTATACTATCATCATTATAATTATTATTATTATCATTATTATTATTAATGTTTTCGTTATTATTATATTATTTTGTTATTATTATCATCACTATTGTTATAATTATTACCGTTGTCATAACCATCATTATCATTTATTCCTCCAGCTATTGTTGAGACATTGCTCCAGTACAACGTCCCTCTCGGTGACGCCCTCCTCAGGGCATGCGCCGCATCTTACGAAGACGCCATGAAGATCATCATCAAACACACCAAGAAACTATCCAATGAGGTGAGAGACAAAAGAGGGCACACTTTTTCAAGGTGGGAGTAATCCGATGTTCCTCAACCCCGACCCTCGTCAACTATTTTTTTCCCCATCAAATTTCATGATTTTTCAAGTTTCATTTTTTTAAAGAGTCCCCAAAGGACAGGTAACATTTGTGAGAAGATATTTAAAGGATGAAATCGGAGACAGCAATATAAAGAGCATAGTTCCTTATTCGATTTGCACCTTCAGAATACACTGAAAAAAGACGAGATTACCGACCTTGTTTAAGAGTTTTTGAACGGAAAGAGAGAGAGAGGAAGAGAATAAGAGAGAGAAAGAGAGAGAGAGAGAGAGAGAGAAGGAAAGAGAGAGAGAGAGAGAGAGAGAGAGAGAGAAAAAAAACGGGATGGGGAAGGTGGATAAAGGGGGATAGAGTGAGCTATTACTTAACAGTGATGGTAAAATACAGTTCGATTGGATTTAGGAGAGACAAGGCGTTACTAAATGCCTCTGCGATAATGATGACTAACATGAAGTAGAAAGATCAAGGAAGAAAATGAGATAAAGAGAGAAAGAGAGGGAGAGAGAGAGAGAGAGAGAGAGAGGGGGGGGGGGGGAGAGGGAGGGAGGGAGGGAGTGGACGAGTGTTTATAATTACTTCATAGTCATGGCTAAGTTCTAAAAAAAAAAAAAAAAAAACTCATTTTGATTTATTTTATAGGAGAGACAAGCCGTTATTGAATGCCGCTGTGATAATGATGACTTTCATGAAAAAATGACCCCGCTCAAGATGGCTGCCATTCGAAACAATTTCATCATTGTTCAGGTAAATTAAACATATACATAAACAAAAACAGTTCTAATGTTTTGTATCCCTTTCCATTCCACATTTGTATGGTTTGGCTCAAAAACTTTTGATCCAGAGCCCACAAGTATTATGCCAGATGCATGAGAAGAGAGAGCAAACATTACAGCACACATTGCACCCGTTTTTGGTCCATGACTAGATAGCGTTTGATGTCATGATTTTTTGAAAAGGAAAATAACCCTTAGAATCCTCAAATTGTTTACACGTTGAGAGATTAAAAATGTTAAGAAAACATTTAGCATTAAAGGTAAAGACCAGTTTTGAAAACGCCCCCCTCTCAAAAAATGAAATGGAAGCTCTTGTTACCAATCATGTGAAAGAATATGTTTTCACTAATGCGTGATGATACAAATTTTGCCGAGAAAACCGCCTACTAATTGATATATTTGGTAAACTATTATATCTATTTGGACCTGATAGATATCGCGCACATAACGCGTAGTCCCATATACATCTTTCTGTGTACAGTGCTCGTAACTTTACCAAGACTGGGCCAAATTTCTTATCATTTTGATGATTCCAGATCCTTGCAGTACACACCAATACTTATATGCTAGATGATCAACCTTTTCTGATCGATTCCACAACGTTTCTTTCACAATGCAACCGCATGACCAGAACTGGACTTTATCTTGACAAAACAAATTTTACATGTTATATTCGATGTTTTCAATCTTTTCATTTGTGTTAATTACCACAATTAGGCTTTCAGCCGCGAAGGATTTGTATCTCCCAACATTTGTGTTTATTGTTTTTGATTAATGTATTCATATTACATTGCTTGATCATAATTCTACGGCATAGAGTATGATTAGATTTTCTTAAATTGATAACCTTATTCACCCTATCCCGTCATAGCTATGTCAAATTTCATGGATTTTGGTCTTATTTTTTGGCAAAGCGCTCATTATTAAAAAAAATATAGACAAACTGGTAGATACAAACAAGTAACAAGTATTTTCACGGGTAAAATTTGATTTCTTCACAGCGCTTAATTTGTAACGTATATTTAGTAAATATCCCCACCTCGCCCTAATGCACCCAATGTGGCGCGAAGGTCTCCACAATATTCAGATCACCCAAATTGTTTCCATTTTACAAGAAAATTACCCTTGTTGCCCTTTCTCGCTATATTTCCAGTATTTACTGAAAGCAGGAGCGGAGAGGATTCGAGAACCAAAGCTTGAAGGGCTATCCGAGGCCTCGCTGTCTGAGGTTGTCGAGTACCTAGACATTTACAGGTAAACAAGATACAGTAACATGTTATAAGCTACTGAATTCATTGCATTAAATTGGCTGAAATTTACGAGAAGTCCAGTGAAAGCAAGTAGTCATTTGATATTCCAGTAATTCAACGCATTGCTTCATATTATATGGATTCTTATTTTTCATTCTTGAAAGGACGTCACTTCAAGCTTATGCTTTAGACGGCCCCTTTTCTGTATTTACAGTACCAAGTCTTTATCATACATTTAAACTTATAAGATTTTAGATGTTAATATGACTCGATGGACTGTAAATGTCATTTAAACATTCAAACCAAATCAAACGCAATTTATGCCATTTGTACATGAAGCGTTATTTGCGAACGTAGGACCAGTTGGACCACATCATCAAGTTGTCTTTGACACGACATTATGTTGTGTGATATTGTCAATATACGAACATTATTATAGATAGAATGCCCAATATTCATTCAGTTTGCAGTCGGTTTGGCGACGTGACTTGAATATATATATATAAACATATTCATAAATGTTATATATTGATATACTTATTGATCGTCATATTATGCAGGGCACTGTCGAGTCCGGCGTACCTCGGCTTGGCGCACCCCAACGCCCTGAGCAACGCCTTCAAACTCACCGGCCGACTGCGGAAGATTGCAGGGTTGTGGGAGGCGGTCAACAAGGAGTTCTACGACCTCGCCGACCAGGTGGAACAGTTCTGTGCATCCCTGCTCGATTACGTCGCCAACTCTGTCGAGGTAATTCACATTTCTCTATTCAGAGCTAGAATGGTGTTGACAAAGAAGTTGAAAAAAATGACGGGAGCAGAAATACAGGTCATTCTTTAAGATAAAGTTATTAAATAGACATAGGGATAGAGCAACGTCGATCTGGCGCTGCCCAGTGGCTGCCGGGCTCACGATCAATTGGGCAAAAAGAATCTCCATTTTCGGTTTAAATTACATTTGGAGTGGACTTTAAAAGATTATTATTATTGATTTGTTTTGTCTTGTGTTTTTCGTATTACAGCTTGGAACACTTTTCAGGCAGAGTGATGACCCGGAAGTAGTCCATGTCGTCGCGCAAGTGAAGAATGCCGTCGATTTTGAACAGAAAGCAGTAAGCTATCAAATTCTTTCTCTTCCTTACAAACAAAATTGGTTCTAAAACCATGATCATTGGTAAAGCAGATTGTTGTAATTACTCTCGAGATTTCCTCAAGGTCCTAGTCATCTGACAAAAAAACTGTATGATTGTAACATTTTAAAGTAACGTTATTTTCATTTGGCCCATTTAAAGTAAATCTACCTGAATTATGCCCTATTTACTAATTTACTGTTTATATTTAATTCTGTTTTTGCAATGGCATGATGTGGGTCCAGTCAATTTAGTGGGGGGGGGGGGGGGGGGGGTACCATTCTTTCTCGGAAACGGAATTGACAAGGTAACATTTATTTGGGCATGGTACAGAAATGGTTCTGTCATCTCCTTTTCTCATCCTTTTACACTTCCCTTTCCCCCTCTCTCATCATGACTCGATTGAAACTTCTCATCTGCAACAGCTGCATCATCAATGGTCTCACCATCCCGTTTTGTTTTTCTTTCTCATTAGGTTATTTATCACTTTCCATGTCCCTGACATGTTTCCATTCAAATATTTAAATCTTTTGTGTACAGTGTCCGCTTCTGAAATGCAAATTATTACCTTGAAAATACTTCCTCCCTCGTCTTTTACTTCAGTTCGTAGCACACGCATACACGCAGAAGATCATGTCGATCAACTTTTATCGGAACATCGACACTCATACGCCTTGGTTCGGATTTCTGAGTCTCCTCACCATGTTTGGATATCCTTTCATCTGTCTGGCTTACATCCTCGTACAGCACCCACGCTTAAAAAGATGGCTATCTATACCGTGAGTATTCATACATCTTTAAAGCCTTACTGCAATACTTAAAGCTACTTGCACCCTCTGTATATCAAACAATTATCGGTGCCTGTCGGTCCCCCATGATCCTCTTGTTAATTGAGAGTTTTTTTGTGTGAGACAACCACCTTTCCGTGACCATGCAGGAAGGTCTAATCCCAACTAGTGCAGACGGGCCGCTAATATTGCTCCGGTCGCCCATTCCCGCCCGTGATAGCGCTTGAAGTGGGCTCGCACGCACGGCGGCCATTTTACACTTCCAATAGCGATACGGCTCACTATACGTTACGTATTTTGCTTACCTTTGCTTACCTCGGCAAAATGCTTGCCTTTACTAAATGGACAAAATTACGGTGGGGGGCTGGATGAATTGGACATAATGAACTTATCAGAACTGATCTATTATTATTCATGCTTCGTATCCTTCGTGTGCTTGACTTATAACCTTACAATCGCGTGGTTATTGAGTCCAAAGTTCGACTTGTTGTACATGTGTTATATAGACAATGGCGAGCTTGCGACCTATTTTGATGAAATTACGGTGGGTGAACTTTCAAAAGTCAATGAGACATGGGGTTCCAATTAAAGAGCTAGTGATAACGTTCGTCGGGGTGGATGTGCTTTTCGTTAAAAAAGAAAATGAATTTGTAACGATTTTTTTGGTAAAAGTACATAGGCTTACATGTTAGGCTGCTGGCTCTGACGATAGGGGGCGTTGTCAATTGAGACTAAACGGAGCTATATGTTAACTCTTAACTTGCCACATTAGTCGATTTGAAAATTCATCGGAGGACACAATAGTTTCACATGCTCTCTTAGGGAAAAAAATGTGGCACAATGCTAATTTTATTTGTGGCACATAAAGTATGAAGGTCAAGAGGTTTATAATAAGGATTTTTAAGAAGACAAAAAAGATAGAAACGAAAACTCATAGATATTGTTTTGAAACTTTGGTACCGTGACACCCATGTCATATCCAAGAATCTGTAACAAAATATATTAATTTAAAAAAAAAGTGAAGAAGGGACGAAATTCCTAAAATTCTGTGACAACAACAAGAAGTGCATTTTAACGAGTGGAATTTGAATGGGGCACCGTTTTCCAGTTAAAGGGGTTGTAAACTGAAGAGACTACGTGTTTTTCCTGTGGCCTGACTCGGGGCCAATCGGGTATACGGACGACGCGACCGCAGCAATCACGTGCGTGCAACATACGCGAAACCGAAGCGTGAGGAGAACTTGGGTCTGTTTCGCGAACGCCGACCATGTAGAGACTTAAAAGTCGCTGACTAAATCAAGTCCATTCGTTTACGTGCAGTTTTCCAAAAGGAGACTTAGATGGCGTTCCCATGTATTAGTCATTTTACACCCCCTTTAAGCAATAGTGGGTAAATGTATTTTTGTGATATGTTTCTTTTTGCCCTTCAGATACATCAAGTTGTGCATTTTCTTTGGATCCGATCTTGCCATCTTTGTCTGTTATGCAGCTCTGTGTGTCGTCAATGATCCCAGAATAACTGATATCATATTGGTCTTCATATTGATATTTTGTGTTGGTGAGTAAATCTAATCGAACCCAATTCAAACTTAATCAGATCAAATTAAGTTGATATAATCAAACTGAAGTAAAATAAAAACAAAATCATCGATATCCTTACGGTTTTCATTGTGATTTTTTTTTCTTCGGTGAGTAGGCCTAGTCTATATCATATTTATGTCCAATTTTTTTTTTTTTTTTTTTTTTGGGGGGGGGGGGGGGTCCAGAATTTGATGAAAAATTTCGCAACGACTCAGCCGGCCGGGGGGGGGGGGCTACGAGCACATGTTTTATTTTTTTTGGTCCCCACATTTCAAAATCTGGCCGATTGATATTTCGTTCGGTGGGGGGGGGGGGGGGGTAAGGTCACAAAACACTTACAAAATAAAAATGTGAGGGGGGGGGGTTCGTCCCCCAACCACCCCCTGCCCTGCGTACGCGCATGTCAAGTACCCATATACACCTGGGCGGAGAGTGGCAATTGTGGTTTAACGTTTTGCAAATCGACACTTTACTATTACAAGTGTGACATAAACTCTTTTTCATTTGCAGCGCTTTCTTGGAAGCATATTTGTGATATCATGGAGTATGGCATCGGGGACTTTCTCGGTTACGGAGCAAACATACTGGAGTCAATCACACTCATCATAAGCTTTGTTCTGCTTATGTGTAAATCGATTACTCTACTTCTGGTAAATGATTGTATTACTATTGTTAATTAGTAGTAGGCTAGTAGTAGTAGTAGTAGTAGTAGTAGTAGCAGCAGTAGAAGTAGTAGTAGTAGTAGTAGTAGCAGAAGCAGCAGCAGTAGTAGTAACAGTAGTAGTACAGTAATATGAATATCAGAAGTAGCAGTAATAGTAATAATTTTATTTATTTTATTTATTTATTTCTGATATTTATACAGGGTGGCACATATCACCAATTTGGTGGTCTTCCATGAGGCCCTGTTTGGTAATAATAAAAAACAAATAACAGCATCAAAAACAAAATAGATAAATACACAAGCATATAAACAGGTAAAATACAAATTAATTGGTATCCCCTTGAAATAACTGATCATTCACGAATCATCCTTGATCATTTACAAGAAATAGATGAATGGAATTTTCAAATTAAATACAATTTTTAAAAACATTCATTTAATACCTTATAATCCTTAATAATTGGGTACACACAATGCATCCCTTACAGTATGTCTTGTGTTGTGATCATGTAGTGAACTAACATGACGTAAATCTTGTTTTAAGTATGTTGGTGCCATGTTATTCAATGATTTATACATCATCACTGCACGTCCAAACTGGAAACGTGTCTGAATAGGCATCTATCCTAAGCGACAAAACATGTCATTTTATATTATTTTGAAATAATTGCAGTAGTAGTAGTAGAAGAAGAAGAAGTAGTAGTAGTAGTAGTAGTAGTAGTAGTCGAAGTAGTAGTAGTAGTAGTAGTAGTAGTATAACCGTTCGGCATGTTCGGGCCTTTTTCGGAATAATGTTATATTTGTTTGGTCTGTTGTTGGTCTCGTTGGTGTATTTCATGCAGGATATTGATATTTGCCGGGGCTTTGCATTTTTTTGCAGAATCCTTTAAAAGACCTGGGGTGCGTCTCAAAGACTAAGATCGACTTGAAGTTGGACTTAACTATGGCAGGCCGTTCATGCCATTGTTTGCTCTCGCCATTGGTCTCTCAATTATGGTCTGAAGATGATATTTTTTTCCTCAATAATAAACTATCAAAAAGTGTAAATTTTGTAGATTTGTGACCATGATTTGTACGTCCCTTGAGAGACCAATGCCAGTAGATGGTGAGAGAAAACAGTGGTATGAACGGCCTGCCATAGTTAAGTCCAACTTAAAGTCGATCTTAGTATTTGTAAAACACTCCCCAGTAGGCTACTCCCCTGTTTTTATAACTGTTTTTTTTAAACATGAGAAATATATAAATACATGTTGAAACTTTTAATTTCTCCACATTTAGGACGTGTACGAAACGCGTGCAATGAAACGTCACGATAAACGGGTCGCGATGGTGAACAACGTTACTGTGACGTCAGATCTGAAGCTATCCAATGTCACTGTGACCGATCGGCTTGAACAATTTGTATCGTTGGACTGGAACGATCCTCAGATCGTGTTATATGTCTTGTTAGGTGAGTAGAGGAACATGAAATAGTATATACTATGCATGATGAGTTTAATGTTACTATCCACAGTGTTTGGTGAGTATAGGAACATGAAATAGTAAACAAAAAAATATACACTTCAGAGGTTCTGGTTTAAACTACGGGCAAGAGGTGACGCCAATAGTACGTTTGGAGTCGCCGAGGCCCATAGTTTTAACCAGTACCTCGAAAAGAAGGCAGGGTATCGAAAAAACCGATATCCAGTAAAAAAAAATAATCATTACATTACCCCCTCCCCCTCAAACTAGTAACATTCAGCGAGCGTACGGGGTTTCAAATGCCTCCAGCGGCAAACTCCCTCGGTGTCACGGCGCTTACGCCGTGCAATTTACGCTGAGCCACAGTAAATGCACTACACTACTACTACAGTACCTGTATAGCGCTAGCTAAAAATATTTACATCCTTCAGTGTTTCTTTTGAGCCGTGAATTTTCTTTTATTTCATTTTTTAATGTGACGTGAATGTGAGTACGGTACATGTCATTACGGTCTATTAAAGGAATGATACAGGTGGAAGGGATATAAAACAAATATACAATGACTCATTCTCGGAGCAAGCTAAAACTATTCGCACTCAGGAATATCAATAGAATTACTCTCTCTCGGGCCATCTAGATCCTCGAGTGTCATTGTGCATTTGTATACTATGTATGATTAATTTAATTGTACTATTTACCATGTTTCGAGAGTAGGTACGTGAAATGAATATTGTACACTGTCGCTCATATAGTTTGAATATTTTTTGTTTACCCCAATTTATGGAATTATTTTGACAATGATTTATTCCTAATATATCTAGATAATAGTATACATTCTCAGATTTTTTTTTAATAATGATTTTCCAGTGTTTGTTTTGCTTTGACTGCTATATTATTATCATTATTGTTGTTGTTGTTTTTGTTGTTGTTATTGTTATTATTATAATTATCATTATTATAATCATTATATATGAGCAGGTGTTGTGGTTCTTCCCAATGCAATACGCGCTTTCACCACGGCTCTCAACTCATACCAAGACTTATACAGCATCTGGGAATCAACAGTGGGCGCTCTTAGTGATATGTTCAAGTTTGTGACTGTCTTCGCCATCTTCCATTTCGCATTCGCTGTCGGCTTGTTTGGTATTTACGTAACTCAGGTGAGAATCCCGTCACTTTCATTTCATATTACTAGCGTTTTATTGGGAGTTTTCTTTGCCTCTCTTCAGGATCGCTTGTTTGCCACGCGTGCACTTTTGCACAAAACAATAGGCACCAATGAATGAATGATTGCAACGCAAACAGGCAATGGCTTTGCAAAATTACCCATTTCACTGAGGCTCTTATTATAGCTCCATGCCGACCCTTTTAATATCGGTATGGATTAATCTGGAAGCCTTTAGCATATCCAATGATAGTAAATACAATATGGCAATGTGGCATATAGAAAGTTAAAGGAGGGGAAAGACGCAAGACAGGGGGGGGGGGCAATTTCCCCCTCCTCCCAACCGAGCAAAAAATGCAGCATTTTAGTAGGGGGTAGATCAGGATATCATTGCAAGTCAATACTGTATTTCAATACAAAAATGCGCTCCAAAACGATCAAGAAGTGCCTCAAAAAAGTTAAAATCTTTGAGTGACCGGTTTTACCATACTCGTTTCCCCCCAATAGACTGTAGTGTTATGAAAACCAATAGGAAAACGCAAAATTTGATTTCAATTTCCAATCATGAAGATCTTGATAATCAGACAGGCGATCGGATTGTAAAATCCATGGGGTTCCTCATTTACCTAGGGTATCCACATCAGTATTAAGACTGCTCCTCATGTGGGCCCTGGACCAATTAACACCTGGATGACGAGTAGCAATTGTGGATTAATGTCTTGCCAAAATACATAAAAGCCGGACTGGGATCCGAACCCCGACCCTTAGATTGAGAGTCAAGTGAACAAACCACTGTACCATGACACCATTTTAAATTTCGTACTCTTTTCCTGCCCGAATAAGTCAATTTGGGTGATACCGCCTCCTGTAGCGCAAGTGAGGGACCTAAAAATTGATTTATTAGTACTGAAAGTATATGGATCAAGGTCAAGTGAGATGTTTGCCCACATAACGCCAATGTCTTGATACGACACTGATTCATGTTAAACATTGCACTGACGCATTTTCATTAGCGGGGTCAAAAATATATTAGTTTTGCATACTTTCAAGAACATTTTTTCTGCATGAAAACAGGTACAAAATGGGGTACAAAATGTTACCATATTTTTAGCCTGGCGAGTACACAATCAGACAAGTTCATAAGATTCATGCGTCCACAAACATCGTGAAAATATGTCCCCCTTTCATGAAATTTCATGCTTTTACACATGCGCGACCATTTCAAAGAGCGTCAACGTCCCCGAAAATCCCACTATTTTAGCAACATCCAAGAATTACCAAGATGTAAGATTATTGTCTGTATTGAAAAATGCAAAAATTCGTCCTCCACTGGCAAGTGACATATATAGACAAGCACAATATGTTCAACTTTCATCAGTAAACACAGTTAATATAAGCGATGCCTCCGGGACAACGCTAGATTTGTATTTAAAGTTAATTTGAAAAGACCTTATAATGCTTATTCTTTAATTTTTCTACAATGTATTTTTTCTTTCCTATTGATGATAGGCTAGTTAGATTGGACCAGGCTAGAGATATTTGAAAAAAAAATTAAAAAATGGCTGCCTTGATTAGAGTTGACCAGTGGTTGGGCACAAGGGAAGTCGAGGAGTATACTTCACTCCTCTACAGCATTGTCAATTGGGTTCAGGAACCCGTGATACAAGGGTTTGCAATCAATTGCAAATTTAAACCCCGATTCTGATTGAATCGTGGTCAGCCTTCAGAACAAAATGTGCACACAACTATGATCTTGATTGGCCATCGTCAGTTTTCAATCGATCGCAAACCTTTGTGTCACGGAGCCCAGATTTCTCGGCTCATACCTTCAGAATTCTTCTTCCTAGTTACCGTAATCGACAAAATAAGTGTAATAATCAATTAAATGTATAATTTTTTTTACTATATTTATTTTCTTAAATGCAGAAAGAAATCTATGCAGAAGATTTGGCTGATGAGGGTTATCACAGGTATGTCAAATTATCATAATGAAATAACTTTACCTGTTTTACATTGTAAATAGTAAGATTAGATAATGTGTTGGAAAATAGACTATTTTCTGGGGGGGGGGGGGCGGAGCAAAACGATCAGACTGAGTATGGTAAGAATGAAATAATATATAAACATTTTATTAATACATTTTATTAATACCGATGTACCTAAAACCATAGTTTTAAAGGGAAATCCAACCTTAACAGAGAGCTATTTTAAAAGAAAACAGGAAACAATCAGAGAAGCAGACTGGTGAAAGTTTGAATTAGATTTGACAGAATTTGTTTATAGAAAAAATTGTAATCACTAAGGTATGGGCACTTCAAATTGACTGAATTATGACGAAGTACCGGGCTAATATATTCCCCATTTGTTTAGACACATAACATGATAAGAACTTCAATTTTTCAACTAAATTGTATGAATCAGGAGGGTCTTTTCAGTATAGGGGACCTATAATTATATGCTACCCATATTACGCTCCAATATTGTGCTCTAAGGGAGGAGGCATTTAGAAAAGCGAAATTAATGATATTTTGTACACGACAAAATAGAGGGTTGTCCAATGACAACATCTTCATTATCCACGTAACAATTTGCTAATTTGAAATTTAGTGATCTCAAATTTTAAACATTTATAACTCCCTTATTATTGGCCCGGTTTATTTCTAATTTCGCATTTCTGTTTAGCTAATTTTTTCTGCTTCCATAACTCTCAATTCAATTCAGTACTAAGTGTCTTAATTGTGAGTTAAATTTACTAGGTCAAATTATGAATATTTATCTTTTGAGGAATAATTTTCAAAGGAAGCCTATAGCATTGTCTCCATCTTTATAATCTTGCGCCACATCAACTTTTGAACTGATTATGTCAGGTGTATTTCCAAATGTTAACAGTAGTACTTTAAAGGGCGAATTGAGTGCTTAAGTTTTTTCATTTTATGCAAATAACCATCTCTTCCCACCCGCCACTCTCTTTCTCTCTCTCTCTCCTGACTCTTTCTCTCTCCTGCTCCCTCTCTCTTTCTTCCCATCCTCTCCGTCTCCGTGTCTCGCTTTCACCCTCCCTCTGTTCTTACGTCTCTTTGCGTCGTCACCCACTTCCCTTCTCACCCCTCTCTCTCCCTCTCTTACTCTGTCTGTTTCTCTCAATCTGTCTGTTTATCTCTCTCTTTTTTAATCTCTATCTCCCTCTCTCTCCGTCTCCCTGTCTCTCTTTCAACCTCAACTTCTGGCCCACAGCATCCCGAACGCACTGCTTACTCTCTGGTGGGTATTCAATAGTATGGGCGATAAAGCGGAGCTCAACGGTCAAGTCACATTCGTCAACGTCGTGCACATCGTGATCGTCGGCATCTACTACACCGTTGCCCTGGTCCTGATCAACACTCTGATTGCCATCCTCGCCTCCAAGTTTGAATCTATCGCGGTTCGTCGAATTTAGAACATTTCTTATTAACTCTTATCATGCCACAGGGCTAATCCCCATTGTGCCAAGTCCAATGAGCATGAACAATAACTGCTATTACGAATGCTGCATTGCACGCACATGGCACTCAATAGGTAGCTCTCTCGCATATACAAAACAGCATAGCGATAGCGTGCATGCAGCCTTATGGCAGGCTATAAGGTTAACAAAATAACACGCTCTGTGAGGGTGAAATTCCAATAATGTTAGGATGAACCCTGGTGCATTTTCATGTATATAAAGTGCTGAAGAAATTGCTACAAAGATAAACACTATTTTCTTCGTGGCACTAGAATCGCCCCAAAGTCAATAAAGAGTGCAATGTTTCCTCTTTTCTATCAATTCGGTAAAACCCAAATCTCTTGACCAGAAAAGCAATTTTGTAGACCTACATGTTTATGTTTGTGGTCATTGTCGTGTCATCAAAAAATTACGATTCCCCCCCCCCCCCGCATTTCATCGTTTATTTAGGAAAATTCGGATACCGAGTGGAAGTTTGGACGGACCAAAATGTGGCTGCGATTTATCCGAACTGATATTGCTCTACCGCCTCCATTCAACATTGTACCGACAACCGGGTTCATTATCCGACTCTTAAAGAATTGCTTTTCACTTTGTACCGCCGGATGCACCCAAACGAGCCAGAAACAGCCTGAGGTAAGATTTTTTTTTTTATTTGAAAGTAAATAAAGAATGAATTGTCCGTCTTGTTTTTTATTTTCAACTAGTGTTCATAATTTTCTCTCACTGTATGATCTAAGCAAGTAACCCAAAACATTAAACATTATAGGCACTGTAAGTTTTTATAATAAACTAGTAAAGAGCAATATTTCACTCGATTAAGATAGTAAAACTTTGAAACGCTGTTAAAAAATACTGATTTGCCCAGTCTAAACAACTGATGATTAAAATGGGCCAGACCAAATTTTCGAAAGAGGCATTTAGCCGGGAATTCCATCGTGGTAAAGACTTGCTGTTTAAATAGCCTCATAGTCGATATCAATGTAGGCATGAAAATATGTAAACTTCTGTTATGATATGAGATATCAGCCCATCATATTTGTTCAGCAACAAATCCAACAACTTAAATGAATCAAGATTTGAATCGTTATTGAAGATTGGTTATCATGATCATTGCTAAGCATGCATTATTGCTACCGAATTTATGGTAATAACTGATTCTGGGAACAGTGTGTCCAGAACAGATGTTTCATAATAAAGTAGTTGTTTAATATATTGTTAGATCCCTTTTCATAGAAAGATCAAATCAGCCTTTTCAAAATTGTGACATATGTAAGTTTTTCTTTCCTTTACCTTTTTATAGAAATCAGAAGAAAAAACTAACCACGATGGCAATGCAAGGGTATGTACATACACTGTTGGTCACAATGGTGGAATATTTTTTTGTTATCCCATTCATTACGGTTCACACAGAGGATTTTTTTCTGTTGGGGATCGGGGGGGGGGGGGGGAATGCAATGAATTATTGATGATTAATTGCATTTTCTTTGTTTTTTGTATTTGTGGGGGCGGCCCCGTACCCTAGCCCCCGCTGCGTACAGTCATGATTCAGTGGCTAAGCAATGGCCTCGTTACTGTCAGGCCCCAGGATCAAAACTGTGAGGATGTGCTATATTAGTGCCCTTTTGTGAAACATTAATCCTCATTACTGTCAGTTATAAGGACGTAGGTCCACTAGTTGATTAGCATAGTAGCACACATATGCTTTAGCAGTCACGCAAAACAAACACTCACAATTCATCGCCCATTCCCGCCCGTGATAACGCTTGAAGTGGGCTCGCACGCGCGGCGGCCATTTTACACTTCCAAGAGCGATACGGCTCACTATACGTTACGTACTAAAAGGCTGTATTGTCTGACCGTTCATGAATATTCATTTTTTTGCTTACCTCGGCAAAATGCTTGCCTGTACTGAATGGACAAAATTACGGTGTGGGGCTGGATGAAATGGACATAATGAACTCGACTTATAACCTTACAATCGCGTGGAAAATTAAGTCCAAAGTTCGACTTGTTGTACATGTGTTATATAGGCAATGGCGAGCTTGCGACCTATTTTGATGAAATTACGGTGGGTGAACTTTCAAAAGTCAATGAGAAATGAGGGTTCCAATGAAAGAGCTAGTGATAACGTACGTCGGGGTGGATGTACTTTTCGTTTAAACAAAAAATGAATTTTTAACGATTTTTGTGTGTAAAAGTTCATAGGCTAACATGTTAGGCTGCTGACTCTGACGATAGGGGGCGTTGTCAAATGAGACTAAACGGAGCTATATGTTCATCTTCTTGCATCGCAGCACAAAGGGTGTCATTTTGCTGACGCAGTCATTGGTTGACGCATGACTGCGTCTGCGACAGGCGCGGTAATTGACGGGCCGTGTGAGGGTGACAATGCAAAGCAAGAGGTTTATTAAGATTGGCAATACTTTGATGAATTAAGCCCAGCGAACAAAGTACGATCCAATTTGGAAGAAATCGCTATAGTATTGACATTTGAATATTTTACTTATCAAGTCATTATGATTTGGGTTCCATTCATACGAACAAGAAAATAGAATATTGGGAGCATTTCAAGCTTACTTGTAGAAGAAAGAGCGAAATTGGCTCAGATCAGTCGGGCATTTGTCTACGATGTGAAGCCGATTCGGTTTTAATTCTGACTATTTTAGAGGGTTTTAAGAATTGCATTTGCATCGTTTAAATCATTATTCAGAACTATACGGTTACTCATGAGTTCTTATTTCAACTATTATATAAGTTAAAGTTCAAAGAATCCTTTATTACATGGATCAAAGTCATTTATGCAAATGCTGTAGGGAGTGTCATAAATAATGGTTGGGTCTCGCAAAAATTTGAAATAAAAAGGGGCATTAGGCAGGGCTGTCCGCTTTCTGCTCTATTATTTATTCTAGTTGTTGAAATTATGGCATTAAAAATAAAGCAAAATAATAATATAGATGGTATCACAGTCGTAACTACTGACACTGGTATTTCAAAAGAATTTAAGATATCCCAACTGGCAGATGACACTGTTCTCTTTTTAAACAACATTCAATCTGCCAACATATCTCTCGAAGAAGTAAAACATTTCGGACACTTCGCTGGGCCGAGCTTAAATGTGATGAAAACAAATGCTGTTACTATACAACAGCAACAAGCATTTATCGAAGGTATTAAATGGAACGATGAACCTGTCAAGTATTTGGGAATGTATCTAACAAGGGATAAAAAGGAGTCTGATCGATTGAACTGGTTTGTGAAACTAGAAAAAGTAAAATCAATCTTGACTTTTTGGAAAATGAGAAACTTAACTTACTATGGTAAAGTTGTAATTCTTAAATCACTTGTAATCTCACAATTTGTGTATGTTGCTTCGGTATTACCTATCCCTCAGAAACTAGTTGTTGATTTGAATAAACAGATGTATAATTTTCTATGGAATTCAAAAAGAGAAAAAGTCAAGAGAACAGTCTTAATTAATGATATTGAAAAGGGAGGATTGGGCATGGTCGACTTAAACTCTAAATTTTAATCGCTACATTTATCATGGTTTAACAATTTCTTTGAAAATAATTATGATATACCGTGGAAGTTTATGTTTAGATACTGGATTGAAAAAATATGTCCGTTGTTAGTAATTTTGAAAACAAATTGTTCCAGTAAAGACATGTTAAAGTTATGCTTAAAACAAAAAATACCTAATTTTTATGTTAACTGTCTCGTAACTTGGAGCGAACTTAAATATATTCAATTTCCACAAGTTATGAATGTTGAAAATCAAGTATTGTGGTACAATAGTAATATTACACATGAGAGCAAACCTCTCTTTTTTAAAGAATGGTTTAGAAAAGGCATTATAACAATGAATGACATTGTAGAAAATGGACGTTTTCGGCCAAGAGAACATATTTGTAGAGTGCTTGGCTCAAATTCTTTGCTAGTTGATTTTATGTATACGAAGCTTAAAAATGCGATCCCAAAAATGTGGATCGAAAGAATTCAAGATGTTAATTACGCACATGACGATAAAACAAATTCACAATTCGAAGGAAATAAGAACACTTGATTTTATAAGACTATCTTCAATGAAATCTAGCCATTTCTATAGCCTATTGTGTGACTTTAAGAAAAGAGAACCAGCTGTATTAACATTTTGGGAAGGTAAACTGAACCTTGTCATTGATTTTGATTGGAGAGATACATTAAAATTTAAGTTTAAGACATTGAAAAACAATAAAATAAAACAACTCAACTTTAAGACATTTCATAGGATTTTACCCTTTAGATACAATCTGTGCAAATGGAAAATTGTAAATGAAAACCTTTGCATTTTTGTAAAACAGCAGAATCTTTCGTTCATGTTCTTTTAGAGTGCCCGAGCGTAAAGCTTTTCTGGAAACGTATTGTGGAATTGATTGAATTGAACTTTAAAGAAAAAATTATATTAAACGAAGAATTATTAATTGCTGGTTTTGATTTCAAACATGCAAATGGAGCAGATATAAATACAATCGTTGCATATGCTCAATACGCAATCTATTTGATGTATATGTTAAATTATTTTCAAGGTAAACCATACAACAGCTTTTTCATATGGCATGTTTTTAAATACGAGTTACTCTTGGATAACATCTCGGATGTTGTTTCAGGGGCTCTCGGGACATAGTATTTTTTTTTGGAGAGTTTTTGAGAGCTTTTGAAATAGCATCTGGGAACTAAGGAAAATCTTCGGGGATATTTTATATCACTGAAGATTTTCTCTTAATAGTTTAAGAAAATACTTAAAGTGAATGTAAAATTTTGTTATGATGTAATGATTTGTGTGTCGGTTATTTTTGTAAATGAATAAAGTACCTCTGACAAGAGGAAAATAAAAAAAAAAAATTATTCAGAACTAAAATCAGGAAGGTGATGTCTGTTTAGATATCCATCTCTGATGTAATTGCAATTTTTTCTCAAAATGTCGGATCGCAGCAAAATCGTACAACGTGCGCTGCATGGGCTTTACTGGCGCATGCGCCGATTGCCTTTTTCGGTTAGTTTATTATTGATAATAACGCAGTCAAAATGACGCATTGAATGCAACGGGCATTATAGAGGCCTATGTAGTCTAAGATGGAAATTAAAGATCGTAATTTGTTACCAAGGCCCCGTAAAACAAAGGTTTGCAATCAATTGCCAAACGATAATGGCCAATCAAGATCAACGTTGCATTATTGTATTCTTCAAAAGGATGACCATTAACCAATCACATTGGTCATTTCAAATCTGCAAACCTTTGTGTTACAGGGCTAGATCAAAAATACGGGCGAATACAATCTAATGTTGAATGCCATAGCACGAATGCAAACGGGGCGCTGTAAACAATTTAAATGTATAGTCATCTTTTTTGTTCCTTTGCAGAAAGTAATGAAAGAGATACTTAAGAGATACAACACGACTCAAATCGAGAAACCAGACGATGAAGAATCATTCGGCATCGATGATATTCGTCAAATCAACCAAGACTTCGTCACCGTCAAGTAGGTTTGTTTCGACGACGCCGGGAATATACCCACTGCTCCATTCTACCTTAAAGATATGTCCCTTTTGCAGCCAACATCAAATTCTGTAGATCTTTGCAGGAATTAAGAATATGTCATGTATGTCCTGTGAAATCTAAACATTAGCAATGTCCTAGTATTAAAATTGTATAAAAAAAAAAAAATATTCACTGTCAGACACTATTGAGTGACTGACTGACATTTTTCTCCCTTTGGTAACAATATACATAAAATGAGCTGTAAGAGGAACTGTACATGAGCATTGGTCTACATCAATAACCCACTGCTTGTAATGGCCAAAATTAAACTGATTGAATCTTTGTGCAGCAAAAAAGTAAGACCATTCGGTAAAAGGGTCTGAAAATCAGACTATTACTTAGGTGATTGCAACTAGGCGTTGTGGCGTGCGCCTGTAATCCAGCTAAAAAGTGGAAGTTACAAACTGATTCAGCCGAGGACGCAGGTTCGAAACTGAGTCACGTCTTTCGGATGGTGACGTTTAAAGGTCGGTCCCAGACGTAAATAATCATATACACGTCTGTAAAAACCCAATACACACACACACACACACACACACGCAATCACTTAAGTCGACTTGTGCAGCAAAAAAGTAAGACCATTCGGTAAAAGGGTCTGAAAATTAGACTATTACTTAGGTGATTGCAATCACTTAAGTCGATTTGACAACTAATGGACGTTATTTTCCCACTCTAAGCCATTTTCAAGCCCTTTTGTTTTGAGGGAAGTTCTATATATAAGTATTGTCTTTCAAATGCCGTCGGAATTTAACCTTTTTATTTTGTTGGGCCTGCAAATGGGACATAGTACCTAACTCTTTAAATGCCACCCAAATAATCTTTCTGTGCCACGTATTGTGTGCCTGCTTCTAGTGCAAGATTTTGTTCTTTTTTGTTCTTTTCCTCAAGCTAGGTTCTTATTTCCATAATGTCAATACATATTTACATTCATTACTCAATAATTGAATGAAAACTAACATTGGCTAAAAATTGAAATATATTCAACAATTCTTCTTGCTTAGTATTATTTTTTTGCTAACACATTTATACCTTAAAAACAATCTAAGCAACGACTTGGATTTTTAAACAAAAGCATGCGCGTAAATAACAGCACCATTGACAATATTTTTAACGTAACATTTATAAATTACATATTGTGCATAATTTGAAATAATATTCATGTGATGAAATTAGACAGCGAGGTGCCCGAACATATTTTTGATCTATAATAAAGAAATTATATTTGTTATTACGCTCGCTCTACGCACTCGCAACATGTAAAAGAAGGATAATTTTAGGCAACGAGATGCCATAATATCCTCATATTCGTGTATCGAGGTGACCGAATAGATGATTTTTGTGTTTATATATATTTGGCGACGGTCTGTGGGCATACATTTTTTGATATATTATCTAGTGTATTGAAATTAAAAAAATTAAAAATTGAAAACGACATTACATGTATTTTGTAATTGCTCGCTCAAAAAGTTTAGAGATTAATGTTGCCTACATGGCACTTGACGAGTGCCAGAGTGTTGCAAAATGAATCTTCGTTGATGAATTTGGGGCTGGGGACACTCGAAGCTTTTTGTCATCTTAAAAGGATGCCATGACTGGAAAAAGTTTAAAAATCGCTGCTCTAATGTAAATTAATTAATTTATTATAGTCATGTTACACATTAATTCGTCCTTGTTTTCACGAAGTGACGGTAGTGAGGAAAATCGTGACGCAAAGTGAATGCAATTTTTTTTCACTACCGTCACTTAATTCGTGAAAACAGCGACGAATTATTGTCAAGAATGTCATTTCTCATTGTTCGCATAAAAGTTGTAAATCCTTCGCAATTCAGCCAGCAACTGGGACGAAATGATATAAACCTCGCTGTTTAATTTAATTCAATTCTTATTCTACGCTTAATTATCTTCTCATTCAGATTCAATGTACAGACCAAACTGCAAGTCATCAAGAACATGATAGACGCCATATGGTTAACAATCGGAAATATCGAGTGCAACTTCCCAATCATGGACGACATAAAAGACAAGATACCGGTTACCCGAACCGAGGTCATCGATATGTTCCAGACTAATTATCCGGTCCTTGATAACGACATAGGTAACCTTCAGGTGGTCATCGAAGACGTCATGGAAGAGCTCGGCTACCGTCCCGAAGTCGCTCCGAAGCCGCGTCGGAAGGAAATTGTTCAGGATGTGATCGACGGGCCACCCATAGTCTTGCCGGACCCAACTCCTGCACCGACTCCTGAACCGACTCCTGAACCGACTCCTGAACCGACTCCTGAACCGACACCTGAACCGACTCCTGAACCGACACCTGAACCGACTCCTGAACCGACTCCTATACCGACTCCTGAACCGACTCCTGAACCGACTCCTGAACCGGAGAGGACTCTCATCGAGCGAGTAATCGACTTCTTTACGGAACTAAGTGACAATAATGAAATTGGTCAGGATGTGATCGACGGGCCACCCATAGTCCTGCCGGACCCGACTCCTGAACCGACTACTGAACCGACTACTGAACCGACTCCTAAACCGAAGATGACTCTCACCCAAAAGATGGCGAATATGTTCGCAGAGGGCCGAACTGTGGAGACCGACGACGAAGTGACAGAAGAGGTTCAGAAGTTTAGACTAGGTTTCATCGACCGAGTAATCGGCTTCGTTAAGGGATCAAGTGACGATAATGACTGAAGCATGCTTAAAAGATACCTCAAGATATAACTTTAGTTATTTTGAGATATGTAATTTACATTTGCCCATTAACCTACAAGATTCCACACCAAAGTGTTAAAGAGAGGCATAAAGAAAGATGTACAGTTTCTTAGCACGACATGGGCATTGCCATAATAAGTAATTTATTTTTCAAATGTATTATAATTTATGAATGCTACCTGCCCAGGTGTGTATGGTGATGAAGTATTTCTTTCACCTGATATTATCCTTTGTACCAAATTTTATTGCAAGAACGCAAATTCCATAAATAAGATGGTGCTCTTTTGGGGTGAAGGTTGCGCATTTTTGCCAACTGCTATATTTTAGTATTTTTAAATAAGTGAGTAACAATTGTTCACCTGTTAAATTTTCTTTCAACACATATAATTTGTACGATCTCAGTTATAATTTTCTCTGATTGATAAATAAAGGTTTTGTTATTTTATTCAAATGTCTTTCCAACTAAAGCTTGGTGCATGATACATGTACAACTCCACCTGGTACGTTACATTTTCAAACAAAAAATGGCTGCGCCAATGTCATGCTATTAGGAATGATATCATGCCAAGAATATCTTTCTTAATATATCTCTTGTAGACTCTCATAAGGAATATTTTACATCAAAGGGCAAAAATACATATCCCTTTTTCAGAATACCAACACTCATTCTGTGGGGTAAGGTTTTCTTTAAAACAGGATGACCATGGATGGTTCTTGGTGGTTAGGCCTACTGTAATCCTATGCCCATTTATGTGGAGCAGCTGATAGGCTCTGCTGTGTAAAATACAGAGTATCATAATTTCCCCTGCTGTAGATGAGCCGCCATGAAAAGGCGCTGAACGTTCGAGCAATTTCTTCTTAACGGCCACTCTTATACTTCGCCTGGGTGGAGAGCGGCAAACATGTTAAAGTAAACAAAAATACGAGACCACCATTTATAAACGATCATAGTAATACCGGTTTCTGATAGAGCACTTTAATATCAAGTGACGAATTTGAAAGCGCTAACCGTTTGATTACTAGATTCACTTACTATTTACAGTCCGTTTTTTCCCTTTCCATGGGGCCATTCAAACTAGTCGCCTTTTTACGGGCGCGCACATGCTAAATGAAGCCACTGCTGACGTTCGCATCTTACCGGGTGCGTATTTTTTTATTTACATGGCAGCGAGGGGAATTTCTCGATTAATCCCAATGAAACCGCTCGCGAAGAGTCTAGACTAGACCGAATCCGAGTACGAGTACCTAGCAGCAGTGCAGTGTATTATATGTGTTGTACTCTCATACCCCAGAAGGGGGTCGAATGAGTCAATAAATTCTATTCTATTATATTTTATTATAAAGGGAATTGTACTTAACATGTAGATCTAGAGAATGAAACGATGAAAGACATCTTAAAGCTTATCTGCCGTAGTTTACAGGAGGGATCAGAGCCCCCTGCAAGGTCACTGGACAGGTGGTTATCTCATCAACTAAGTTCTCAGTTAACATAAGAAAAAGAGGATCATGGGGGACCAACGGTCATCGATTAGGCACTGTTTGTTATATAGATGGCGCCAATTTACCAGGTACCAATTTACCACCTGGGTAAAAGAGAGAAATATAGATAAATTGACTTGATCAAGGACATCAGGAAGACAACTGACCGAGAATTAATAACCTACTAATGATTCAAAATCGGTCTTTTTGATGTTGGCCTGGAGTCGGTTTAGCGGTTTGACTGAGGTACTAGCTGGTCAACACTCGGGTTGAGGTTAGGGTTAGACCGAGGTCTAAGTTGCTCTTTTGTTAAGCATGACCTAATGGTGTCTTTTCACAAAGCGTTATATGATAGATACTTCAAGCCCAGCTCAATGTTTTAACTGAATTGGTAGATTACGGGCCCTGACGGGGCCATGACTGTTTGCTCTAAAAAAGGACAAGAGTCGTAATATTGATGCAGCTATGATTGCATAAAGATCTCTTTCAAGATTAAGAAATAAATAGAGGCTTTAATGGTACACTTCTGATGAAAAAAACATGTTGGTGATAAATTTTGGTACGAGGTTTATACTCTTGTGTTCTTATTAAGCTAATATTGGTCAGGTGTTTGGTATAAAGGCAAGTATATTCGTGGAACGATCGCAATTACTTTCGAAAAAAATCGATCCGGGAGCAATTTCAATACCCTATCGTATACCCCTAGGAACTTATGTGCGGATTGCGTAATACGACTTTGTAAATGTCCGCACATTTAAAAAGATGACGTACAAGGGTATTGAAGTGACCTTAGGCTGATTTCTCGAAAGTTTTTGCGATCGTGTAGTGTGTAAGATATATAGTTGTGCTCATACTACTTTCATGTGTTTGCTGATTACTGTTTGTTGAACAAACTCGCAAGGGTTCTCGTGTCTAGCCCAAATATGGACTTTTAGTTTGTAAAATTTAGCGAGCGAGATAATTGCGTTACCAAAAAGATGTATATCATTTTATATTGAGGGCGACATTTTATATCGTTTTAATATATTGTTGTTACTAAAGTATGAGAATACACCGGTGTGGATATAATATATAGATGAAAAATACGGGTAGTTTCTAAACTATTGGGGACTTAATTAATATGTTGTACTAACTACAGGCTTAATGAAAAGTTGCACGAAGGGAAATGCGCCTTAACTCACTCTCACACATTCAACTGTGATTACGTACGAGCTCTGATCAAATCCGAAATCGGTACTTTCACATGTTTTACTTCAAAATACACGAGCTTTGAAATGAAATTAATGTGCATACATGATGGGGTGGGTGACCAAATTTTCCCTTTTCCCTTTTCCCCCACACATTAAGAAATACGTAGATCAACATATTTCATGTTATATACGTAATAAGAATAATATATCATATAATCGAATTCTAAGCAGTTCAAAGCTGTGTAAACTTACAATCAATAAAAACACGAGAAAATTGGAAGGCTTTCCAAGACTGACTTCAGTCAAAATGTGTGACCTTACCTCGTGCATGATATTTCCGGGTATTTGTAAAGATTCCACACAAGATTCCAAAAAGTGTCATAATTCAAACAAAAGCAGAACTATATGTTGAAACTTTAAACTAGATAATAATTTCTCTCTATTGTTGAAATTTCCTGCAAACAGGAAAAATATGATTTTTGTTTATTCACGTGTTAACAACAGTGTTGGCCTAGTCATTACCTGTAATTAGATTGTTTTAAAAGTTTAAAATTTGTCTCCTCTGGATATGTCATTTATTCTTTTTCACAGCATCATTTTTCTTTTAATGTTTGGTATATTATTTCAGTCAAAATCGTGCAAAATACACTAATTCAAAATCATGCAGAATAAACTCATCATTAATAAATCAACTTATTCTTTTTTGTTTTTTTTTGTTTTATTGTTGTTTTCTCTTTGAGTTGTTGTAAAAAAAAAAATTGTTTTTGTTATGACCAATAAAAAATCACTTATTACAACAACAAAAACTAACAAAAAAATGTACTTATTTGCAAATCAATGTGCTTTTTAGAGTCCCACTGATCACTTCTTTGTTAATGGAAAGTCCGCAACGTAACTAGATTACCTCTTTCGTCCACACGACAACCATAACAAATATACTGTGAATAAATACATTTTTGGATTATTGAATAAACCCGGAATAGTTTATGTTTATGAAAAGTGTATGCTCGTCAAGAACATTTTTTTTTTCTCTTGAAGTTCATAATTATTTACATTTTTTTAAATTTCTGATTGATATATTATATTTACACGATATATTTAAACGTTCAAACGTTAAAGAGAATATCCATTGATGCAGTATTAGTGTATCAAAAACAAAAAATCCTCTACATTTTTTAATTGAACTATTTCCGGTAACAGACCAGTTTTGGAAACGTTTCCCCTCTCAAAATGAAATGAAAGCTCTTATTACCAATCATAATGTGAAATAATATGTTTGACTAATACGTGATGATACAAATTTATGTCTATTAAAATTATGTCTATCCGGACTGGATAGATATCGCATAGTCCCATATACATCTTTCTGTGTGCAGTGCTTGCAACTTTAACAAGACTGGGCCAAGACTGGAAATTTTGAAAATTGAGTGGCAGTGATTCTTTACAATTTTTATATATTTGGATGCCCCTGTGGATGTGTTAAAAGCACTAGAAAATTTAGCCCCTAAAATACCTTCTGCTTTCGAGAAAAATTGAATTAAAAAATTTACCGGTGCTCCCGGTAAATTTTAATAAGTTTCAAATAGCGCCTACGGCCGTACAATAATAGCTGCGACCATGAAAATCCCCAAAAATGTAGCTGTGATATATAATTTCAAAACGGGAATATCTAATCGGTCGTTTAGTCAAGATACATTGTTTTATAGCTTAATTAATATCTTGACCTTGAGAGGGAGCTATACAACATAAAGTGTTTATTATTTACAATTTCATAACTTTAGACTCGGTTTCAACCGCGACAACGATCCCTGAGTATTGTAGGATCGCATATGCTTCAAATATGTTCATTTGAACCGAATTCATGACCCCATACCAAAACTTTGTATTACCTTCAAGGGCGTGTCTGCTATTGCTGAATGAGATGGAATGTCAAATCGGAGGGCTTTTTGTGCTCTTTGAAAGGAGCACACAATGCGGGCAGTGCGAATATAAATTAAATTTCAAGGGATGGATTAGAGTTTGTATCTCCACATTTAGAATATTAAGGCATTTGAAAAGCCATGCTTTACAGGGAACATTTTTTATCTAATTTTCTTCCACACTTGCATAATACAATGATAACGCTCACAAATCATTTTCAACTCAACCTTCTCTTTAAGGGCGTGTTCTGCTACTGCTTAAGGCCATTAAAAATATACATGTTTAGCGTCCCCATCCGCTTCCTGTTTGGGGGTCGCCTCCTTTTTTGTTGTTGTTGTTGTTGGAATTTTGTTGATTTTTTTTTTTCTTCATTTTTTATAGAAAAAAACACATGAAAAACGCTGCTAAAATGTATCTATTTCTGATTAAAAAAGAAGAAAAAAAAGTCGGCGGCCATTTTGAAACATAGCCCCACTGTCATGGAAAATGTACAGAGCGGCCATTTTGAGCGGCCATTTTGAAACATTTTTTTTTAAAATTTGGCCTAATGAGATAGAATGCTCAATCTGATGGCCTTTATGTGCTCTTTTAAAAGGATTAATCCTACACTGAATAAGAAAGGGGGAACTTCAGCAGCCTTATGAAGGTCAACAACATGGTCTATCGAATAAACCATCGAATAAACGGAGGCTGCACAGTACATGATACCCACTGAAGAGGAAAAGAAACGGCGCCATCTAATCATCAGTGATGAATAACCACAACAACAACAAAAAAAAAAACACAGCACAGCTAGGCAGAAATAATCTTTTTAGATTGGTCAGCCTTAACCCATTGCTTACTGGAACCTGGTGGTCCCTGTGTTAAGTCTATGGGAATTAGATAATTCAGTAGTCAATGGGTTAAAAGGCAACAACAACAACAACAATCTTTGGTTAGTTCATGTTGGTACCTCCATCCTCATTCGCGATGAACCCTATCAGGGTCCCGTCCTTACTTTACACTCAAACATAAATTCTTCAACACATTCTATTAGGGACTTTTAGATACGCACGAAGACAGTAGGTCTATGCTACGATCGACGTCCTAATAATGCACTGCCTTGAATGGACGTCACACGTTTCAGTCCACTCAAATCTAAAAGTCCCTATTATAAAGTTCAGAGCGACAATGTATGTTTGGTGGTTGCAATACCTTTTTAAATGACCATAATTAAAACCATGAAAGCAACGTATGGGCAGGACGTTGGGGGTGGTGAGCAGGGGGGGGGGATCCCCAAGTGCAACGTCTACAATGATAGAATTGGCCTATATAACTGTAATGCTTAATCACATTGGTAATGACAGTTCAAAGAGCAAATTACTAATCATTCTTTATTTACTCTTGGTAGACCTTGGTAAAGTATGAAAAACGCTAACAGACTTTGTTTAAATCAGAAAGACAAGCATTAGTCCGTAACTCTGATAAGGACATAGACAATCAATGCATACTTCAGCATTTTTATCTTCTTACGTTGTCATTTACACCGAACTCTATCTAGGCATCGTTGATTATATTTCTTCTTAATTCTTTCTTTTTCCTCTGAAAATTTTGTTTCAAACTTCAATCAAGTGAGACTTGTGCTTAGAATGTCGGCCAAACATCGCATGCTCTTGGTGAATAGAGGTAACTTTTCCACGTACCAGTAGTGTCCGAATATTTTCAACGGGCGGGATTTTTTACAAGAACAGCATTACAATTTCATGGAAATTCACCGGTTAAAACTATTTTTGGAAGTGCTTCCATATCTGATATTGAGCAGTATAAGTTACTTCACAAATGTGCCCGAGTCGGTGATTTTAGACAAAAGTACACAATATTTTACCTATACCAAAGTACAATAGAAGACGAACCTATAGAAGTAGAGGAGAAAGAAGGGGAGAATGAAGAGGTTGCAGTAGAATAAGAACGTGGATGACTACAAGAAGAGGAAAGGAGAACAAGAACGAAAAACGGGAAAAGGACAACGAAACAGATTCAGAAAGGCCAGAGAAAGGAAGAGAGAGAGAGAGCAAGAAATAAACTTATCCATACTACTAATTGCATGTCAATTGGTAGGTGTTGAGGTCGAATGATACGCTGGTACTGAGAAAAAATAACAACAATGAAAGACAGGGTTCTGAGTGCCGAATGGACCGGGTTTACTGCAAGCGATGGCTATCTCAATGTGGGGACCACGTTCATTCTGGGTATCGTCCTCATCATCGTCCTACTCGTAAAGAACGCGAGGAGACCACATCGCTTTCCACCCGGACCCCCAGGCCTTCCGATCATCGGAAATGTTTTCGGTAGGTCCATTCATAATACAAACAATTAATTATCATAATCGCCGTCGTCGTCGTCATCATCATCTCCATCGCATTCCAAATTCTCAGGCTTCGTTCAGATACGACGCGGTAAACCGTCATGTTTTACCTCCAGTTTTTAAAATGATGCCGTAAAGGGTAATACGCTTATTTCTGTATCTTATAACGCGCTAGAATGCGCGTAGGACTGTTGTTGTGCGCAGATTTGCGGCGGTTTACCGCTGCATATCTGATCGAACAAGCCTCTTAATGCGTCCTATTTGTATCTGATATTATTGTAATCTATGGCTTTATTATAAGCTTTCCGTTGATACATAATTCATCCATTTCATTTTTCAGTTCGGATAAGGTATTTCATATTTTGGATTAGGAAAGTACTAAGCTATCTCTTCAAATTTATAGGCCTATTTATGCTCGTTAAGGTTCAAATTACATATCTTTCAAGTTATAGGCCTATACACAGTCTTCAATATTCAAATGCAATGCATAGTTTAATCTTCCACGCATATTTTTCAGTTTCTGATCACACCCATCAATACTAAAATTATATTCATACTCGTCAAAAACATAGCTCTTTTATACTCGTAAATATTCAAAGTCTATTTCTCATAGCCAAAGACATATCGTTTAAGTTCTATTCAGACTCGACAATATTCAAATGTTATTCTTACTGGTCAAAAACAAAGCCTTTCATACTCGGCAATATTCAATAAAGTCTATTTCTCATAGTCAAACACATACCTCCCACGTTCTATTCAGACTCGTCAATATCATATTATTCCCATTCATCAAACACAATCATTCTTTTCCCCAAGTTATATTTACTCTCGACAATATTCATAGTCCATACTGGTGGTGGGGGGGGGGGGGCCAGCCCCCCCCCCCCAAATAAAATTAAACCATGACTTGTTTACAATTCCATACAATGAAGTGAGTTATAAATGTTCGTGATATCACATGATTTTCAACAAAATGCGCGTTCTCCATTTCTGTTGCAAACTGACACATTTCCAAATAGCCAGGAAGAGCATATTTGTTTTTTATAGTCATTAATTGGCCTTTAATAGTGGCCACTAACAGTAACGCTAGTAGATAACCGTATATCCAGTTTAGCGAAAAATCTGGATACCCGTATGTCCGTATTTTTTTTTTTATACGCTAGCGAGGGGTATCTTTTCGGTGCCAGGTAAAAATGTCAGAGGAAAAAATGTCAGAGGAAAAAATGTCAGAGGAAAAAATGTCAGAGGTAAAAATGTCAGAGGTAAAAATGTCAGAGGTAAAAATGTCAGAGGTAAAAATGTCAGAGGAAAAAATATCAGAGGAAAAAATGTCAGAGGAAAAAATGTCAGAGGAAAAAATGTCAGAGGTAAAAATGTCAGAGGTAAAAATGTCAGAAGTAAAAATGTCAGAGGAAAAAATGTCAGAGGTAAAAATGTCAGAGGAAAAAATGTCAGAGGTAAAAATGTCAGAAGTAAAAATGTCAGAGGAAAAAATGTCAGAGGTAAAAATGTCAGAGGTACAAGCAAAACAAATGAGTGCCGTCATAATATCTCAGCACTTTTATCACTCAGAATGTCAAGACGTACAGCTACTGCATGGGCTAGTCTATTATATTCCTTTCTAAATGGATGTGTTGTATATCGTACATGTCCTGAAGATAATATAATGTGGAAAATAGATTTTGAATTTTTTTTTTTTTTGGGAAGCAATCAGAGAAGGTTAATCATCTAGCATAAACATGTAAGTATTGGTGTGTAGTGCAAGGTTTTGGAGTCATCAAAATGATAAAAAAATTGGCCCAGTCTTGGTAAAGTAACAAGCACTGTACACAGAAAGATATTGATATGGGACTACACAAACATATGGCATACAAATCGGGCAGGCATACAAAGATGTTACTTGTTATATCTGGGATATGAAGTCATTTGAAATAGATTTTCAGGGAATAACTTTTTTCTTTGATGTTCTTTCACACTTGCATTGAACGCTCACAAATAATTTTTTTTTACCTTTCCCCAGAACTCAACCTTCTCTTTAATTGATGTAACATGGGCGGCTTTCTGCTTTGTATCGGAGTAACAAAGCTGCTTATTGATTTTCTCCCAGACTATTTTATACCGCAATAGTAATCGACAATATTTTATTGCAACGCGCGCACTTCGGGAATGTGATGGTGCGGTTAGCATTGATAACATGGCTTTCTGCTTGTTTCAGAGTATCAAAATACCAAGCCCTCAAGAAAGTGGAATTGTCGGAAATATGCATTTATTGGAAATTACATATAATAGTAGACATTGCCACGCAGTTAAAATGTCCAACAATCTTCAAATACGAAGGAGAAGTAGGAGGGGGAAGGTTCATAGATATCTGATCCTATTTTGGGGGCTGTACTGACTTTTCTTTTTATTTAATGATTACACCATGGAGCGACAACTCAGCCTATAAAACATGGCCAAACTTATCGATTTTAGAAATCTTTTTCCCCAGAAGTTTGCTCAGTGTACCAGTACCATTTGCTTATACAAAAACATAATATACCGGTATATAAATATTGAATAAGGCAGACTAATGGGACATGGATGGTGTACTCCGAGTTTCACGCCTTGCAAGCGGTCATCAGACAACTGATAGCATTCTTCAAAGTACATGATTCCTCTACAACCAGGGCTCAAATTAATTTTTTGTCCACGGGGGCTCTTCCCCCCCCAACGGGGGCTCTCTGTTATACAAATATCCATTGAATTGGTACCTATGATACTCCTCGATTATTTGCTATTTCATCATTATCATTTCAATCAGCATTTTCCCTCTTACAAATTTACAAGCTACATAGCTGTTACTGGCCTGTGTATATAATATATACGCATACAACACTGATCTTTATGATGTCTTTAACGTGACATATCTTCTTCTCCCCTTGCAAACGAGAAAGAAAACAAGGTCTTTAAAAGGGATTAAGCGACAAATAATGATTGTGATCCAAATTGATGCGAATATTTGTTTGAATAAGCACTGCTATTCACCCGAATCTTCTTTGTAAAAACAACTTTTACAATTCTCAGCCATGCTTACAGAGTTGACACGTTCCATTCAATGTAAAATACTCATTACAGAATACACTTCTCCTAATCTGAAAGTGATCTTACAACACAGTGGCAGATTTGCATGGCTGATATTTGTAAAAGTCGTTTTTACAAAGAAGATTCTGGTGAAAAGCATTGCTTATTCAAAAAAATCCTTGCATCAATTTGAATCACAATGATTAGTTGTCGCATGATCCTTTTATTAAATAACCTTGTTTCCTTTTTTTTTTTAATGATTACACCATGGAGCGACAACTCAGCCTATAAAACATGGCCAAACTTATCGATTTTAGAAATCTTTTTCCCTAGAAGTTTGGTTAGTGTACCAGTACCCTTTGCTTATACAAAAACATAATATACCGGTATATAAATATTGAATAAGGCAGACTAATGGGACATGGATGGTGTACTCCGAGTTTCACGCCTTGCAAGCGGTCATCAGACAACTGATAGCATTCTTCAAAGTACATGATTCCTCTACAAGTTACAACCTTGGTATACGCTCAAAATAAGACTTAACTAATACAATACAATAAGTCAGCGGTGAAATAACGACTGCAGAATATCCCTCGCTGTTCTTTTTCAATAAGCCTGATATATAACCCGGGTGTAAACATAACAAACTTGTCACATGCTTTTGTTTTTATTTTAAACTCTGATATTTTTACCTCTGACATTTTTTCCTCTGACATTTTTTCCTCTGACATTTTTTCCTCTGACATTTTTACCTCTGACATTTTTACCTCTGACATTTTTACCTCTGACATTTTTTCCTCTGACATTTTTACCTCTGACATTTTTACCTCTGACATTTTACCTCTGACATTTTTACCTCTGACATTTTAAACTCTGACATTTTTACCTCTGACATTTTTTCCTCTGACATTTTTACCTCTGACATTTTAAACTCTGACATTTTTACCTCTGACATTTTTACCTCTGACATTTTTACCTCTGACATTTTTACCTCTGACATTTTTACCTCTGACATTTTTACCTCTGACATTTTTACCTCTGACATTTTTTCCACTGACATTTTTACACCGAGCCATTTTTTCGATTAATTCCAATGAAACCGCTCGCGGAAAGCCTGGACTGTATTTTAAACCTTTACACGTACGTACTGTACTGATAGTTTGATAATGTACTGAAATTGTTTTGTCGATGGGTGTTAATTGTGTGTATGTGTGAGTGTATGTTCACGCTCGCTGCACTGATTTCTGCTCTCATATTCAACAGCAAATTGCAAAAATAAATATCAATATATTTGTTTAATATCTGTAACTGCTCGGAATCTGTTATTGTGTCCAAATGGTTAGAGTGGTATGGTATCTTGTTTCAACCATACTTTTTCCACAGGACGTCCTTCCCCTTCTCTCTCTCTCTCTCTCTTTCTCTCCCTCATAATTCTTTCATCTCTCTCTCTCGATCTCTCTCTCTATCTCCCTACTTTATTTGGATGAATCGCTATGACGTTTGAATATATATATTAATTATTGGGTGGGCTTATTGTGCTTTCTAATGGATCCCTACAACATGGCAGATCCACTGAGGGGCCTGGCAGAGCAGAATCCCAGGATTTTCTCGAGTTTATTTGACTTTCAAGAGAGAATTTTTTTTTTTAGAGAAAAAGAGGTTATTTCTAAAATGAAATTAAAGGGCTCTTGGAAGTCAAATAGCCCTTTCATTTCCTTTAGAAATAACCTCTCTTTACCTCTTAAAGACAATTTTATGAGATGGAATGTTCAATCTGAGGGCTTGTTGTGCTCTTCGAAAAGAGCACACAATGGGGGCAGTGCAATTTGAACTTCAAGGGATGGATTATATAGTTTTTATCGCTCTTGAAAGTCAAATAGCCCTTTCATTTCTTTTTAGAGAGAAACTCTTATCCATCCCTTGATATTTAAATTGCACTGCCCCTATTGTGTGTTCTTTTTAAAGAGCACAAAAAAGCCCTCAGATTAGTCTGCATATAGCAGAAAACGCCCTTAATACTGGACTCAACATTCAATGGAATGACGCCCACATCATTGAGTTTGAAACGCACTTCTGGTCAAGAATGGTAGAAGAATCATCTGGATAAAAAGGATAGGGGTTATTACTATTACCTTTTTTCGCTCCAGTGAGCACGAGGCAGCCGACAGCAAGGCATTGACATTGTGTAAATAATAAAAGGTCCAACGGAGTGGTTGTTAGAAGCTTTAACTACATAAAACTCGCACTCTCTCCAATTTTTGACAACAAAAGGTTGTCTTGGGAACCACTTCGATCTATCTTTATAGATGGGGTACAGGGGGGAGCCTTTGCCGACAGTCTTGGGGCGGAGCCCCAGGAAAATCTTGAATTTTTAAAAAATTAGAAAAATTCAAATAAGTCGTCACAAGCGATAGAAATTGTTAGTTCCTCCTTGAAAGTCACAAAGCCCCTTTTCATTTCATTTTAGAAATAACCTCTCTTTCTCTCCTAAAGACAATTTTATAGAACTTCTGTTTTCATATTGTTGTACTTTCGTCCGCACATGTCGGGCCAACTCATCGGGAATGTAATCTGTAAGGGTAAATTTAAGTTTCATGTTCTTCCTTTTTTGTCTTTCTTTTTTTCTTCTCTCCCTCCCTCTCTCTGTCACTCTCCTTTCTCTCCATCCTCTATCTTCTTCTCTTTTTAAATTATTCTCTCTTTCCTTTCTCATGTTTTCCTTTTATCGTTCTCTCTTTTTCCCATTTCCATAAAAGAATACAATTTTCTCACTTTTGATGGCAAAGCCATATCATTATGGCTATGTCATCATAAGTGACATTACATATGGCATGTGTTTGTAATTTGTTATGGGAGATATTCTTTTACTTGTTAATATGTCCCCCTGTGAATAAATATATGTTCCTTTATTTTAAAAAATCCAGAAAATCGACACTTCGAGTTATTGTGTGCACAAATCAAATGGGAGTTATCCTTGGAGTGTGTGACATGGGTTACGAGTACGTGTGACATCGCATTTAAATGCCAGTTGGAGATTCCCCATCTTATTACATGAATTGATCTCGATAAAAACAACTATATAACTTTCTCATCAATTCTATTTCTGATTTTTCTAATACTTAAACTAATTTCCAATTTAAAAAAAAAGAGAGAAAGAAGATAGGTAGGGGAGTTTAGTTGCGATTTTCCCCGCCAACAAGGAATAGATCGGGGGGGGGGGGGCAATGGCGTACTGATGGGGGGGGGGGGGGGGGGGGGAGGCTGGGGGCAGATACCCCCCAAATACAATTCAAACGTGGTTTATTTCTAATTCGATACCGGTGATTTACAAATGTTGATGAAATGACATAATTTTCCGAGATCTTTCCTCAATCTTTAGTAAATTATACTTTTTATGCGTTTGTTGGCAAATTACAAATTCCTAAATTTACAGTCAGGCAAGAAATATGCTTATTTAGAGGCCTACTCGAGCTCTGCCCCCACTTTTTTTGAAAAAGTATACTAAAGAGAAATAGAAAGAAAGAAAGAAAAAAAGAATAGTGACCTGCAAGTGTCACAAAATAATGAGGTATCAAAATATGCTCATCTGACCGTGATTAAATGCCTAAATCCCCTGAGCTTCCGGGGCTCCGCCCCCTCGACCCCACCAGGGGGCCTAAGGCGGGCCCCTGAATGCTCAATGACCGTTATAAAATGCCTCAAATCCCTAAGTTTCAGGGGGCTCAGCTCCCTAGACCCCACGCCAATTAGTGACCAGCCAGTGTCATGAATAAGGTATCAAAATATGCTCATCTGACCGTTATAAAATGCCCCCAAAACCCTGAGCTTCTGGGGGCACCGCCCCCTGGACCCCACGCCAATTAGTGTCCTGCCAGTGTCACGAATAAGGTATCAAAATATGTTCATCTGACCGTAATTAAATGCTTAAACCCCCTGAGCTTCCGGGGGCTCCGCCCCTCGACCCCACCAGGGGGCCTAAGGCGGGCCCCTGGATGCTCAATGACCGTTATAAAATGCCTCAAATCCCTAAGTTTCAGGGGGCTCAGCTCCCTAGACCCCACGCCAATTAGTGACCAGCCAGTGTCATGAATAAGGTATCAAAATATGCTCATCTGCCCATACCCCCTGAGCTTCTGGGGACTCTTGACCCCTGCCGGGGCTATGCCCCTAGACCCCACGCCAATTTACACTACACTCTACCTGATCGTAAATACTTTAGCCTCCCCCCACCTACTTTGAAAAACGTTCAGCGGGGCCTGCATGTTGATGTTGTTGTAGGTAATAGTTTAATGGCGTTCATTCAGTATACGCCATATCTTTAATTTTATAAGAAAAATCAATTATACATAAGAAAACTGAGGATAAAGATTTGTAATGATTTAATTAATTAATCAGTAACGCAATTTATTAGGAGTCTCTGGATGGTTTGCAACTTCGTGTTTCTGCTTTTTTTAAGTTTAATCTGGTCAGCCCGGTTTCGATTGCATGGAAACTAGCGTTGCTCGATTTGAAACAGGCTTCTCGGCTACTCGGCGTGCGTGCGCAGTGATCTTTTAATTTTGTAATGCACGGTGCCTAGACCACTCAGAAACACAGAAATACTAAATTGAGACACATCGTACAGGGGCCTGCATGTAAGAGTGGGGTGATGCGGATTTTTTGTCTGCCAGCCCCCCCCCCCCCCAAAAAAAAAAACTTTTTTGTTCATTACGCCACTGATCATACTAGTCAGTACTTTTTTCAAGATCTATTCGCACTTGCTTCTATTCATACTTTCTTATTTTTAAAAATCTCCTCTTCAAACTATAGACTTGACAGCGACCAGCGAAGTATTATTCGACAAATGGTCCAAGGTCTATGGCGATGTCTTTAGCTTCCGGGTCGGGGACCGATGGGTCGTGGTTTTGAATCATCAGGAGGTCATCAAGGAAGCCATGTTGAAGTACGACGTCGAGTTCAGTGGCAGACCTCAGTTTTATTCCGGTAAGAAATGTCGAGGTGTATTGGTTTAATCACTTGACTGTCAATGTAAGGGTTGGGGGTTCGAATCCAAGCCTGGCACTAATGTTCTTCGGATAAATAATGATCTACAATAACCACTCTCCGGTGTAATGGGTACCTACTGCATGAGTCGCATGAAGAGCATTATTAATGCTGGGGGATCCTAAGTCGAACTTAACTCTAAGTTGGACTTAAACATAATTATATATAATTTTTTTCCTTTTTTTTTTTTTTTTTTTTTTTTTGGGGGGGGGGGGGTAATGATAAATGCATGCATGAAGAGCATGAAGAGCATTATTAATGCTGGGGGAGGGGGGGTCCTAAGTCGAACTTAACTCTAAGTTGGACTTAAACATATATATATATATATATATATATATATAATTTTCTCCCTTTTTTTGGGGGGGGGGCTTGCGGCTTTGGGGGCTTTTTGATTTCTTACATTCATTTTTGTACATGTACCTTGCGATTTCTTTTTGGAGGTGGGAGCTAGAAGATTTTGTTTGTTTGTTTGTTTGTCGGTTTTGAGGAATTTGAGCTCCCCCGAGGCCACCCTCCCTGTAGTCAGAACGCCCACCATTTGTTTCAAAACTCTTTTGATTTGCTCAACGCCGTGTCTCTTTTGACCTTTGAACCCCCCCCCCCCCCACACACACACCCACAGCGGAAATTGCTTCTGACGGGTTCAAAGACATCGTCTTCAGCAATTACTCGGATACCTGGAAACTTCATCGCAAGTTGGCCCATTCAGCTTTCAGGTAAAACCAGTTTCTTCTACTTGGCTTATATCGCTCGATGGAGCTCGAAATAATTCTTTGGAGCTCCAAGATTTAAAGCATAACCACGCTCACGTATGCCTATCATGCACATGTCTTACCTTTCTCTCTGACTAACACTTCTAGCTAGCCCTGTAGCTGCTGGCAAAAGGGGTTAAAGATTAAGGTGTCCAGTTCAAAATGGTGTCAAGTCGTAAGACATAAGTCAGAAATCCCTCTCAAGATAAGTCTAGTAGTTTAAGATAAGTTTGGCGTTGTTTTGGATTAGGAATCTAAAGATATTACGGAGTATGAATACGAGAGGCAGTGGATCACTTCAGTGGCTTTCAAGACCTGCCTGTAAGAGTTTGCTGATTATTAAAGCACGATGACAAACAAATTTGTGAATGTCGGGTGAAGCTATTGATTTCATTGTTAAGCATCATATGTATGTTATTCCAAAAGATAATCTACATGTATTCCGATCAATATATACACGTGACCAACACTTGGTCCTAATACAAACATCCCAGCAGCCGCCTCCCCGGATTCCTGTCAGTCCTAATTAGCATTTAAAAGATCTACACTCGTCCCTAAAATACGCACTTTTATCTTTCTCCCCCACTCCTCCCCCTTACTCCCACCTCTCTCTCTTTCTCTCTGTCACACACACATACACACACACACCCACTCTCTCTCTCTCTCTCTCTTCAGAAAATTTGCCACAGGACACAAGTTAGATGAGTTGGTGCACGGTGTCATTCCTCAAGTACAACAAATGTTGAAAGAGAACATTGGAAAGCCGTTTGATCCTAAGCTTATGATCACCCTAACCCTCTACAACGTCTTTTCCAAAATGTGCTTCAGTGAAAGGTAACGATGCGTGGTCATCATCGTGGTCATCGTCGTAGTCGCCATCATCATCATTTCCACCAGCAGCAGCATCAGCATTATCATATGATCATTATCATCTTCATAACCATCAATTATTATCATTACCATCATCGTCATTATCATCACCATCATTATTCATATGATTATTCCCAACATTATCCTCATCCTTATCGTACTTTCCGTCATTATCATAATTATCATCATAATCATCATCATCACCATTATCATCAGCTCATTATTATCATCGTTATCATCACAATGGTCATTTACCCAATCATTGTCATCATCATAATCATCATAGTTAAGTAATCACCATTTCGATCCTCATCATTTCCGTCATTAACAATGTCGTCAACATTACTATCAAACAGAAATAAATAAATCATATCAAATCAAATCAAAATCGTAATCGCTATCGTTGTCGTCCAAATTACCATAGATTTCGAAATTGTATATGTTATAAAGCGGGTTCTAGCGGATGTCGCAATCTTATTGGTCAAATAGCACCACGTGTCCGTGCATCATTAAGAATTAACCATCCTAATAGCTGCCATCATCGGATAGTGGATAGTAGGGTTATTATTTTGTCTTATGACTTGTTATCATCATTGTTATTCCTCCACTAGTTATGACTTCAGCGATCCTAGGATGCTGGGATACATCACCATGTCACAGGAGTTAGCTGAAAAGGTCGGATTTGGTCTGGTTGCGGACTACTTTCCATGGGCCAGGTTCCTGTCTTACAATGGTGCCAGCTACATCCAGAGAATGAAGCAGAAGTACATGGAATGGACCTCACCCCAGCTGCAACGCCACCGTGAGACGTTGGACCCAAGTAATAACAGAAATGCACTATTATGCACATAGGACTCTTCAGTGTTGCACACGAGGCGTCGTAACGTGCTGACGTAAGGCTGCGTCAAGAGCTGCTGGCGCGCCCTTTGACGCGCCGTGCAAGCGTCGTATTGTACAAGAGTAACTAAAAGGGAAAATGCAAAGCGCATGTATTATTGCCTTCGTAGACTTGATAAGCTTAAGTAATGGACGCAATCGCAATGACGCTTCGTGTGAAACGCGTTTTGAGAATATAATCACCTAATGTAAGGACGTCATGTTTTATTGACTCTTTTTTCATGATTTCGAATTTGATCCTACATACACACGTATACTTATTTTCAATGATCTAGGCAACGTACTCATAATGTCATCACTTAATTAATTCCTGACAATGTTAAGGAAAGATAATGCAAATAACAATCTATAAGCTTCGGAAACTGCTCTGTGTTTCAGGGGTTTAGCTTAACAACCAGTATGTAGTATTAAACACACTGAAAAGTTATTGAAAACTGACAGGTTCCTTTTCACTGATCCCGGGCTGAGAACTACAACCTCGTAATTACAATATTCATGAATACAACAAATTAAGAAGAAGAAACTCTCCCATCCATTCGAGTACATTGCAGAATAGACAGGTTTACTACCATAACCACATTTTTGTATTTTTCTTTCCTGGGAACATAGTGACGAGTTATTCCATTAATCTAGTGAAATTTAATGAATTAAGTACAATACTCGAAATCCGGTCTGCATAGATATATGTATATATATATATATATATATGACTTATTGCTATGTCGGCTAAACCTCGGGCAAGCTTTAGGGTGGTAAAGAACAACCTTTGTTTAAAAAGTATGCATAACATTTGGACTATGTTGGTCTACTATCATTGACCTTGAAGATTAACCTTTTATAGAGGAAGTATTGACTGTAGATGTTATGATTTTATTTTTTAGATGAAGCGCGTGATTTCTGTGACTTGATGCTTCTCGCTCAAATGGAAGCGATGGACAGCGAAGAAGATCGGAAAATATCCCAGAATCTATCGGACATCCATTTGAAACAAACAGTCAACGATATCTTCTTGGGTAAGATCTAAAGGCAATTTTTCCGGCGTTATGTAATCAAATTGTAAATTCACAAATCTGTGTTAACTCCCTACGAATAATTGAATTCACCTGTTTATTACGAATAATTGTATGCCTACTGTGTTTTTAGGGAGGATAATCCACAATGTTTTTTTCAAAGAATTTCTTCTGCATTTGATATAATAATGATAATGGGTTTTTGTATAGCGCTCATATTTATCTGTCATACTTTACACTCCTGGCGCTCCGCAATTGATACCTCGGCTTTACCATGGCTGCCTTTACGGCGCTCTAGCATTTTAAGGAATTAATTCCTGCCAGGTACCCGTTTACGTCACCTGGGTCGAGTGTGGCAAATGTTGATTAATATCTCGCCAAAGGACATTAGTGCCGCGGCGGGACTCGAACCGCGGATCTTGTGAACTTGTGATCCACAGTTCGGTGACGTACCCACTCTACCACGTGTGATGTTTCATCTTTTGAGATTCAAAAGGCCATTAACTCATAACAACCCTCAACCCTTAGATTGAGAGTCAAGTGAATGAACTACTATACCACTACGCCTCCACTTAAAATGATTTTCGTTATTTTCTTAGCTGGAATCGAGACATCGATGCAGAGGCTCTACTGGGCCATCGCTCTAATGACGGAGTACCCCGACGTCCAGGCCAAGATCCAGGGCGAGATTGAAGTCGAGATCGGACGTGGTCGTCATCCCGTCATCAAAGACCGCGGTAACCTGCCGTACACGGAGGCGACGCTGTACGAGATGATCAGGTATAGCACCGTGGGCCCAGTAGGCGTACCTCATGCAACCATGGTCGATACCAAGTTCCGTAAGTACTTGAGGCTCTTTCAGATATGGTGCAGTATTAAACCGTCCCTCCCCACCCCCCCCCCCCCAAAAAAAAAAAATCACTGCATTTTTACTGCACCCTGCGTTATCGATTAGATACAAAATTTGAAGCGTATTTAATATACTTAATGTCATCATAAAAAGAAATAAAATCGGGTTTTGCCGTGCCATATGTCAGGCTTTACTGTTATCATTTTTAGACATTTACAATTTAATACCTCAGTCATACCGACACCACACAGGCACAACAACGCGTTAGACCAAACAAAACATAACATTAGCCCGAATGACAAAGAACTGGTCGGAATCTAGTTGCAGTGACTGCGATATTAAAAGTTTATAAACTTCTCTTTAGAAATCTAGCCATCTGATTGGTCGAAAGTGGAGTCGTGATGTTAGCTATTCCCGTAAAGAATCGAACAATGCCAGTATCGACTAATAGTTCACGAGTAAGATTCCCGAAAGATTCCGGGTACCGGGAAAATAGTAAAATTTTGATGAGATCCACATTGGTTTACGTGTTAAAATTTACTTTGTGCGAGCGCGGATACCATACAGTGCTTGTCTGCGATTCCCAAATGATTGTAACATTTACTCATCCTTCCAGCGAAGATTAACAGACAGTGTCACAGATGTTCTGTGATGTTTTAACCAATCTTTTGTTGTGTTAATTCGGTATATAAAAGACATATCGACTGCTTTAATATTCACTGCCTGGCTGTTTCTATACTGGCTCTCGGGCGCGCCTCGGGGTCATGACAGGATGCGACGTCCCCTTGAAAAAAACAGACGGACCTCTCATAGCAGTCGATTTATCTATACTATATTTCAAAGTGTATAATACAGTTAAAGCTGTTTTAGCGAGCACCTGTTTAGAAGGGCTACCCATCTATACAGACTGCTCTTTTTATTCCTCTGGAAATAATGCTCGTCATTAACACACGTGTTAAAGGGTACCTGATAATTAAGATCACATGTCTATGAAAACTACTATTTGTGTCTCCATTTGGCGGTCTTTATACGGATTCACTGTATTATATTCGTGATATAGGGGCACTGAGGATCGTGATAGACTTGACCATACTTCAAATGCTTGTCAGAGATTTTTTTCTCGTAATAATCCCTTCCTCACTTTTACAAAAACCCAAATCTGCCCCTGCACTGACCAATATACGGTGAAAATGAATCAAAATTTTGCCTAATGTGTAAAAAAGAAAAGAAAAAAAGACCGACCATACACCAAAGTGGCTCCACCTCCAAGCACATGGAAATCCATTAAAACATATGTGATGTCATGTGTATTGACTTTGACAGCTTAACGGACAGGACAGAGCATTCGCCTTTGAATTGCATTCCAAAGTCCGAGGATAACGTCCACAAAAAAAGTTGGCTCAAAACCTGTTAGATGACCAAAGAAATGATCTCTTTTAACTGAAACTTTATCAGCCATTAGGTCATCCTTGTTTGATGTTATAGGTGACTGAAGTTTGGGTAACAAATTTAGAACAATAACGTTCCTGGAAATACATAAGTGTGTCTGACCAGAGGTGTATCCAGAGATGAATAAAGAGGAGGGGCCAGGAGTGATTCAACCACCGAGGAGGGGGAGGGAGGGGGGGGGGGGGGGGTGTGGAGCACCTGTCTTAAGTGGAAATGCAAACTGATTAGGCGGAGGGTGCAGGAGGTCGCATTTTGTTTTCTCGATCTTCTACCCCTCTCTCTTTCTCTTTATTTTGCAGCTTTGTCTACCTCTTTTTTTTTATAATACTATTATTTTAACCACATGAGCGGGGAGGCACGCCCCCGACCCCACGAAGCTTGGGGAGAGGGAAATGGAAGGTATCATAACAGCATGTATTGCGTAGTTCATAAACAAACGGAAAGTTATATAAATATCTAGGCCTATATATTTTTAAAATTATTATTCATTTATTCATTATTATTATTATTATTATTATTATTATTATTATTATTATTATTATTATTATTATTATTATTATTTGTTGTTATTGGAGGGGGAGGGGTCTTCATGTGGCGATTTCACAGTAAGCTGGACACACCGCTGTACAAACCTTGTATTATATCTAATATTACAATGTCTTATATTACACGAAATACATTGGCTTTCAGTAACTGAGAAAATACAATATTGGATACTGTCTTGTTCAAAATTTCAAATCTTTGTCAACCAAACTTCCTCCAAACATCTACTCACTCTTTCAACTACAGAAAATATAATAACATTCACTTTGATCTACATCAGCTACTTCCTTCCTCATTCCCAAAACAGGCTTACTTCATTATCATTATAATATAGTTATTATTATCAATTTTATAATAAATGTTATCATTATATTGTAGTGCACGCCTTTTTAACGCATTCCAAAGTCCGTGAATCAAAACAAATACTGGTTTATGTCAGTTGAGATCACATTCCCAGGCAACTATAATCGATTGGCAAATATTCAATGTTTGATTGAATAAACTTTAGATGACTTTGTTAATTTGAAAAACAGTTTCATGTGAACGTCGGGGATTTGTTTCTATGCATATCAGAAATATACTCATTTTGATCAGTAATTACTTAATCTTTTTCATTGAAAAGCAAAATGCATCAAAGCCATCGGGTGAGTTGGGCGATTTTACATTGCTCTGATTTACACATTGCATTATGAAAAAGTTGAAAAACATTCTTGTTCACATAGTCTTCATAACACATGGCATTTAATTTGAAACCGCGTTAGTCAATTTTAAACATCTGTACAAGCGTTCTGAAGTGTCTAGTATGACTATATAGTATGATAAACATTGTTGTTAATAGTATTGGCATAAAACAGTACAAGTATTTTTTTTTTATACAAAAAACTCTTTTTGTCACAGACATCACAAGTCGATTTTGGATCAAATGGGACCTAATCATGTGGAAACATCCGTTTCAATCGAAATTTCTCATTCAAACTCTGTACATAAATAAATCATCTCGATGTCAAGGTAATGTTATGGTGATATTAATCAGTGTTAAAAATGGTCGTGTGATTGTATTATACGGTATTGATTTCATTTTTTAATAGTTGATTATATAGTAAATAGGAATGATTGCATGTGGCGAGGCCTCTTTACCAGTGTGTTTTACTGCGAATTTCTGTGACACCCCCCTCCCCACACACACACACACACACACACACACGCACGCACACACACACTCACACACACACACACACACACAAAACTATCTCATTTGAAGTGGTTTTCAGTGAGCCTTATTATCTGATGCGAGTAATTACGGTATTCGTTCTCTTTGTATTTAATGGGTAAATTATGAAAGTTTAAAAGTGCCGACAGGATGACGAGATAATTTGGGCAGGAAGACGAGAAGATGAGCTAAAAGACAGCAGACGAGTTGATAAAAAAACCAGACTGGTCGCCCGGCCCCTCCACTCAGTGTTATTTAGGGTACGCGTACGCATAATAATGCACGTTCCCTCCTTTAAAACACCCTCTAAGTCCGGTGTATAAAAGTCATTTTTGTGTACTACGAGCCGGACTTTGATGCGTGAAAAGTACCCCTTTACAGGACATTTTGGTAACACGCATGGTATCCCTCCGTTCACGGAGTGGGGGGGGGGGGGGGCCGGGGGGGACTGGTCGACTCGTTTAGAACATGAGAACGATTTCGAACGACTCGCCTTCTCATCTTCCTGTCCTGAATTACCTCGTCATCTCGTCAGCACTTTTAAGCTTCGGTAAATAATGGGTATACTTCAGATATGCCACATTGATCATTTTGTGTAATACTTGACTAACATTGAGTGTTTGTTTGAGAGGTATTTGAACTTTAGCTGTCACGTAGAACGCTTGTATAAAGTTGGACTGTCTGATTTATGTTTAATGTAGACTTTGTCAATACAAGCCAGATACACAATCAAAGGTAAGAGATAACGTGTTTATTGTGTAAAGCACGTAGTCGACAATACACCTCATATAATCCTATTAGCAACGTAGTTTTAACCAAGGTTATTTTGATAAAAATGTAGTCGTAATTCGAATTTTGTTATTAAGTTTTCGTGTTTCGTTACTGCTCAGTCGCCAGTAAATGACGCAAAGTAGCAGTGGCCTTTAAATACCCCTTGAGTTCGTTTAACGAAGAGGCACTCTTTCATTGCACTTTGCTCACTGTCCTCGACTTCCCCTTCCCTAACTTTAAAGTCCCACTGCACTACTTACAGCTACTTGCGCCCTCTTTATAATATAGCAAACAATGTCTAATCGGTGACCATCGGTCCCCCATGGTTCCCTTTTTTTATGTTAATTGAGAGCTGATTTGTTGAGATAACCACCTGTCATTGACCATGCAGGGAGGACTAACCCCTCCTGGCCAAACTAGTACAGATGTGCTTTAAAGACTCTCCACAACCGCCTGAGTCTGGGAGTTTCCTGGTACATGTAATATAATTATTGGTCGGTCTGTCGTCAAACCGACTCCTAACCGACTTCAAAGGACCGATTTGGGGCGATAGGAGGAAATGTCTTTTTTTTGCTGTCGGCTGCGTTGGTGTGACCGAGGCATTGTGGTTTTATCATTCCTTGCAGGTGGATATCTCATACCCAAAGGCACCACTGTTCTTCTAAACCAATACTCAATGCACTTCGATGAAAGAGAATGGACAGACCCTCATTCTTTCCGACCGGGTAAGCTAAGTCAGACCGCCAAACCGACCTCAAACCGACTCCAAACCGACTTATTCTTGGCTATTCGTCGTATGGTCAGGTGTTGTCGGTCGGGTGTCGGTTTAATCGATTGATACCCATGTACTACCAGCGAGACTGACACCAGACATATTACAGACCGAGCAAAACATTACATCACCCCCAAATAGTCAAGAGTCTGTCCGGTTTTCTATCGGTTTGAAGTCGATTTGGCAGTGTGACTGAGGTTTGACGGAGGTATCAATCCTCAGTCACACCACTGAACCTCACCCCGACTCCAAACCGGCCAATTCGTGGCTATTCGGGTTTGGCTTAATGTAATGTAATGTTCGGTGTAGCTTGGTCTGGTGTCGGTTCGTTGGTATGACTGAGGCATTAGGCTCTTATGTATAACAACGGACTTAGTAACTTTCTCCATTCATTTATGGAGCGTACAGTGTCGAGCTCTTTATCCGCTACAAATGAAATATAATTCTGTAAACAAAAAATGAAAAGATTATTCAGTCTTTAAGTGAAGAAAGATATACTGATTTTATAATGACATGATATTTGCCTGTTTATTTGGAACAGAATTTGATAATTTGTTTTGGGATGAGGAGCTTTACACTAGGTTTTTCGTACAAAGAAAAGTTGGAGTTCAATGGCGCTTTAATGTATACTTAAAGGATATGTGTGAGCAGGCTCTGCTATTTTTCAAGGGCGTTTACAATTCGGCCAACTACAGAATAGGCCAAACAAATACCTTTTCACCTCAATCAAATTCTCCCATCGGGTTCAGATTCTTTTTTATTTATCTAAAACTGTATATTCTATTCCATATGTATTAGTTTTTTTTAGAATGGAAGGGTATGGTTTACAAAGATATATATACATTATCGGAAGGACATAGAATGTATACAAAATACTGATTTTTATGAAAATCAGAATATGACATAAAGTTAATTCAAAAGAATTATATCAGAAAGCGTATTTTTTCCTTCTAGATAGCTTCCTAAATGATTTCGGTATGATTATACATGTAGCTGTGAGCCTTCATTCAAAATGATATGTTGCCGATCAATTCAGACTCCGCTCTTTTCTGAAAATATAATGCTGTCTGTATAGCTATACTACCGCTGCCTTGTTGCGCTCGTAGAGGTTGCACAATGTACGTTGTACGAGTATTGGCCTGCTTGGCCCGCCATATACTACCATCCTAAGTTTATGTATCTATTTCGTAGAGCACTTTCTGGATGAGAGCGGTACTACCCGGCTACATCCATCCAGCTTTCAACCGTTCGGTACTGGTCGTCGGAGCTGCCTCGGGGAAGCCGTGGCCAAAGCAGATCTCTTCCTCATCTTCACCTGGCTTCTGCAGAACTACACCTTTCGAAAGGTTCCGGAATATTCCGAGGAGAACCTGCTGAAGCTCCTTCCTGAGACAGCCGCAGGGCGTGTCCTTCAGAATTACAAGATCCTCATCGAGGAGAGATAAGACCTAAAGCTAGTCACTATGATGAGGTGTCCAAAGTTCGCGCACATTTAAGCGGGACTGCACTATACTTGTAACTACTTGCGCCCTCTATATAGCAAACAATGCATAAGCGGTACCCGTTGGTTCTCCATGATCCCCTTTTTCATAATTTATGTTGATTGAGAGCTGATTTGATGAGATAACCATCTGTCAGTGACCTTGCAGGGAGGTATAATCCCTCCTGGCCAAAATAGTGCAGACAGGGTTAAACAAATATCTAGAAAGTGATATTCGAACCATGATTTCTCATCTTCTACAGAAATGTATGTAGAACAATCACAACCAAATGGATGGCAGCAATTTTAGACTACAGTTGGTAGAAATTTATCGGCAAAAGAATTCCTGCAATATAGCGATCTCAAAATTCGATGTAGGATTGGAATGCACTCCAATTGAAGAAAAAGTCAATGAGTTGATAAAAATAATGAATCCTTAACTCGTGCTCGAGAACCCCCCCCCCCCCCCAATTCAAAGGTATTATGATGTTATAAATTATTGCAAAGGAAAATTATCATACAATCCGTTGTCATCACGTTTTACAACAAAAAAGATGATTGCATCTTCTCTCAAAATAAAGATTTCCTGAATCCCATTGGTAACTTAATATTTTTTTGTGGTCAATATTTTCAAAATTTCGCACCAGATTACGAGGAAAATGTTGTCAGTAGGTCATTTTATGTTGGTGTTCATTGGCGGTATCACATATTCAAAATCTTCAATACCGATCTTCTGAGGTTATGCGCGAACTATATGGTCACATACTCCATGCTTTGCCAATAGCACCCGAGTTTGTTATGATGCTTTCATTAGTAATCAAGCTCGGCGAAAATAAGTCAGTTAGAAATTTAGGTCCATCTTCCTATTCTCGACAGCATGTAGGCCTAAAGCCTTGTTCAGATATGACGCGGCAAACCGTTTCGGTAAACCGTTTCGGTAAACCGTTTCGGTAAACCGCTTCGGTAAACCGCGGTGGTAGACCGCGGCGGTTTTGTTTTCTTTTATTATTACAGTGAGTTTAGTGTAATACGTTTCACTCTCCTGTATTTGTCATTGTCATTGCACTATGTATAGGCCTCACAAAAAACTTTAATAAACGCCGCGGTTTACCGCGTCATTCCTGAACGAACCTTAAATGATATAAAAAACCTTAATGATATTTTATATTGGTGCCAAGACAAGATTGTCAATGCAAAATTTGTTTTTGAATTCAAACTAAAATATGTCATAAGTTATATCAAAACGAAATTCATCAGATAACTGTGATGTAATTAATTATTTAGCAAATACAACTCAAAGTCTTTTGTTTAAACATTCCAATTTTGTTTTAATTTGTTTTGCCATATTAGCAATGTTTTTACTATATTCGATGGTTATCTGATTTATGCCTTTTACTTGTGGGAAATTTATTTGATTTGATCTTGCTTTTAATTCGTACTACAATCGATATATGAATGAAAAGAGTTTGAGCCATTTAATTTCAGGTGAAGGACGAAGAGGTGGGTGAGGGGTAGGAGTAAGCTGTGTGTCTTAATTTAGCAAACACTTATTGCTTCGATTCTGACAGCATTAGAATTACATAGGAAAAAAAATAATGAAATTGAATCAAAGAAATAATCTTTCTGTTTTTAGAATGGAGTTTCATTACGGAAAGTGTGTTGCATTTATGACTGAGAAATATGATTGATATTATTTTGTTCATAATAACGTTAATTATTTATAAGACGAAATTATTTTGTTTGCATATCATGTATGAAAAAAAAATTAAAGATATGATTGACGTTCTCATTCTCCTTAATTTTTCTGTTTACATGTTCATTATATATTTGACTTCCTGTCATGTCATATTATCGTATATGTTATTGTACATGGAGTTATACTGAATGTGTCTGCATGTTTTGAAATAGGCCTACATATTATTTAAGTTGTGAGCAGTTCAGCCATCGGCTTCCATTTCAATAAACCATGAATGAATAAAATAAATAAAGTAAATTAAAAAGTTTTGCAGTTATTTCAGGATAAAACAATCATTACAAATAAAATTCGGGACTTTCTTTCATTTGTCACTCATGAAGGGTTCTAGGACAATTGGCCCCTGGGTAATCGCCCCCCCCCCAGGACAATTTTCCCCGGAAAATTACCCGCGGAGAATTACCCCCGAGGACAACCCCCCCCCCCCCCCCCGAGGAAAATTATCCCCCGTGGACAATCAGAATTTAATAGCGAAAATCGATCTGACACATTGAGAGATGGCTACGAGCCCATAAAATCCCATACTCATTTGCGCGCAATGTAATGTTAAATTTCTAAGAAATGTAAATTCTGTACTTTACTCGATGGAAGAACTACGGAAGAATTCGGAAACCTCAACCCTCCCTATCACAGACTGTAATGAACTTCATAAATAACTAAGAAAATGAACATATATGAAATTTTCTGTAAAAAGCAATTTGGAAAGATGCTCGCATTATTATGTCACAGTGATGCAAAATTCCTCGGGATGATTGTCCTCGGGGGTAGTTGTCATCGGGGTAATTCTCCTCGGGGGATAATTGCACTCGGGGGGGGGGGATTGTCCTCGGAGGGTAATTTACCCCCCCCCCCCCTCTTTGGGGATATATTGATTAATTGATTGATTTATGGTCGGTTTTGTTGATTGATTGATTGATTGATTGATTGGGCGAATGATATATTGGTTAGTTGATTGACTAATTGATTGGTTGACTGACTGATTGATAAGTCGATTGGCTATTATTTGATTGATTAATTGATTGATTGAGTTGCGGTTGATTTTCATTGATTGGTTAATTGACTGATGCAATGGTTGATTTAATTGAACTAATGAAAACAAATTGCACGATATGTCTTGATTGATTAATGGATAAATTGATTGATTGCTTGATTCATGTAATGCAAATTTGAAACAGGGCCAATATACAAGACAAAGATAAAATTGCAAAGGATAACACATGCAACACATACGGTTCTTAAATATAACATACCGCCTCCTATAACGCCCCTTATGAACATAGGTCTATAAGTAATGATTAAATAAATAAATAAATAAAAAGTCTAAAGTACGTGCGCATGTTCGGCTATTAACCGAGGTCAGTCATGCAGTAAGTACCCTGGGCTAGACTCGAGGGATGTGTGTATTTATATACTTCACAGAGCATGCTAAGATCAGGAGTAACGTGGGTCCGTGAGTTCGTGAGTAGCATTTAAATTTAACCTTAAATATAGTCTAAGATTTGAAGTTTCTTTGCCAGAATATATATATAGTTTTTGTAAGGCCAGATTCGCAGTTTTCAATTACGTAATAAGGACACACGACAGTCAAGTGCATGTGGGCTTCACACGTACCTCATCGCCATTTATTGCTTGTCTATCCGGAGTGAGTATATCTAGTTGTACTCCTGACCATGTATCACCGTGTCAATACACATTACCAGTCTGTTTATTTGTCATTTTACTCCACGTATTTAGGTCCTACTTTTGTCAATACACACAAGTACAATGGACGTATCCGTCATGAAAGGTCAATGATTTGTGGTCGTAGTGTGCTTGCATGTAAATTATGGACACACTAACAAACGGAGGAGCTATGAGGCGGGAGAGAGACTGATCGAGAAAGAGAGAGAGAGAGAGAGTGAGAGAGAGAGAAAGAGAGAGAGAGAGAGTGAGAGAGAGAGAGAGAGAGAGAGTGAGAAAGAGGGGGAGGATCGAGTTAACAGTCACATGCATATTTGCGTATTTGGATTGGGTATTGATGCGTATTTATGGCAAGCCGTTTTAACATTGATTTATTCTTATATCATGATATCAAATCTACTATTGCTTTACAACAGAAAATTATTTCTTGATATCAAGAAATAAGAATAATTATATACCTCACTTAAGTAATCCAGCAATCTGATTGGTCGAAATTGCATTCATAAACTTTAACTGTTCCCGAAAATTCCCGGTAACCATGGTTAAAAAACAGTTCAAAATCCCAATAACCATGGTTATTGGGAAAATAGGTCAGTCTCCATGGTTACCCCATAGGTTTACATGTTAAAAAATGGTCTGAGCGATCGAGGCTACCGTACGTGTGCGAAGAATTGGTCGGTAATTTCAATACAATTGAATCTCGATCGATCTTACCGACAATTTTATCTTGCATTGTTGATATGAAGACGAAAATAAACTTCCAAAAACAAAAAAACAACATCTGCCGATAGATCTTGATCTAAGTTCGTGCCAATATGCATTGCAAAAGTAAAAGAAGGGCCCGTTTAATGGAACGTTTCTTTCACAATGCAATCGCATGACCAGAACTCAACTTTATCTTTAAAATTGTTTCCCAAAATAAGTGAACTTTAAACAATAATGTAAATAGGTTTGTTCTATTTCGCAATTGTTTCATTTTGCAAAAAATAGGGTATGTAGCAGATCGTCGCAGAGTGTGCAATTTGCAGAGCTCGAGCCCATAGGAAGCGCATTTTTTTTGACGGAAGGAGATCTCTTCAAGTCAACCTTCTACTTCCTGTGCATGCATGGATTCAACGTGAGTTCTAGCTAAATTTACTTACCTAATAGGCTAATTGTCAAGAGAAAATTTCATTGAAAAATAGTTCATGATCTGACACATACATGTATGGGTATATATATATATACTAATGAGTAGAATACTTGATGCACCTGTACGCGCTCGGATAAAATAAGGCCTTCACCGTTGAAATGGGTTCTGTAGACAAAGTTTTGAGTTACTCTTTATATTCTTTGTACTCCTTTTTTTAATGTGATAAGTTCATTTTAATCCCAATGTGTATTTTCATTTATATTAATCTGTATTTCTTGAAAGAAGTATTTTCAACTCGTTTCGCTTTTCAGAGAGGGCATGCTTGTAAAGGTGGCAGAGGCCCACTCATTTATTGAAAGATGTATGGTTGCCAGGGGAACAAACCCCACCCACGCTTCTCTGCTGGCTGAGCTATTGGTATCAGCTGACAGTAGAGGGCACTTTAGTCATGGGCTGAATCGTATCGGTAAGAAGGAGGAGTAATTCATACAATATCCTTAAAATGTCACTTTGGTAACAATTCTCTTGAAAATATTTTATCTAAATGCCCATGATGACTTTTTCCCCTGTTGATGATTACGATTCCCTTTCTGCGGCTCTTTGTTAAAAACCAAGACATATGTGACTGCGTCCCCTATATGCCTCCGTCCCAAACTCACATCTCCCTGTGCCAGAGGCCTTTACAGGTAGTACTATAATAATAATAATGATATTTCATATTTATATAGCGCACATATCCACCATGCATGATGCTCAAGGCGCTTTAACTATTACCCCGGCTCTGCTAGGCAGCCGATTTCGGCGCTCACAGCATTCAAGGAATTCTTTCCTACCGCTACCCATTAAACACCTGGGTGGAGAGTGGCAAATATAGATTAATATCTTGCCAAAGGACATTAGTGTCGTGGAGGGACTTGAACCACGGACCCTGTGATACACAGTCCAACGTTATTCTCTTATTCCTGTCATCAATCCGTAGATGTATACCTTGAGAACGTTGAACATGGCGTGACCGCAGGAGACGGTGAACCTGTCATCATGAAAGAGATGGCAGGAACTGCCTGGGTGGATGGGAGGAACCTCCTTGGTCCTGTCGTGGGGCAGTTCTGTACGGACTTGGTCATCGAGAAGGCGAAACAGGCTGGTATAGGATGGGTTGTAGCAAAAGGTAAGGGCGAGATTTGAAATGGATGCAAAGAAATGACCTGGTAAAGACACCAGAAAACTCAACTTAGTTAAAGACTCGCTCAGATTAAAAAAAACTTGGTTAAGTCAAAATGAGTGAGACAATAAACTTGACAAGCCTCGTTCATTATCTTATTTTGACTTAACGTGCATGCAGTGCACCTTTACTAATACTCTTGTTAGCATGTATTATTTGTAATATATATATATCTTTGAGTGAGTATAGGCCTACATAATGATACGTATATCTGCGTAGTGATGCGTTGTGTTGTTGTTTTCATTTCTTTATTTCAAAGAAAAGTATAGCAATACACAACTTTGCACGAGTACAATCACTTATCATTTTCATGAACCTATTCAGGTTTTAAAAAATAATTATGTATTTTTTTTAGCGGATGTTTCTGCATTTATTGACAAACCAAATACAAAATATTCAAAAAATAATAACAATACGTTACAGGTCCTTTAAACCATTATAGTATAGCAGTGTTATTATTAGAAATCATTGCACCATAATATATTCTGATTTCAGTTGGTATTAATTTGCTTATGTGACAGGTTCTAACCATTACGGTATTTAGTTGGTGGTATTCATTTGCTTAAGTTACAGGTTGTAAACGTGACGGTATTCAGTTGGTGGTGTTGGTTTGTTTTACGTTATAGGTTCTAACCATTATGAAATAGCAG